TTAAATTATGTCATAAATGTTCTTTGATAATGATGATATAGGTAACCCTAGAAGATAAGCATCACAACAAACTGCATGAAATTAGGATCATGAAGGCCTTGAATATAGGACAATAATATCATTCCGGCTAAAATGTTGTGGGAACATGGGTGATAGTAGCTCTTTATCAGCTTGATATTCAAATCTAAGGACATCTAGCTGTCACAGGACAAAAACCAGAGGTCAGACTAAGCTAGAGGTTAAGTACCAGGTCATTTTCTAGCTCCTAATCCTTCCCTAAATGAAGGCTACTTCTGACTTGCAATGATGCATTTATGTGCCCTGTGTCCAAAATCTTCTTTTCTTCTTCCACTAAACACCCCTATTTAACAACACATCAAAGGAATTAAGCTTTGTTAGCCTGATTGATGTGGAACTGGTCATTAGAAGGTAAAACAGTATCTAAGAATCAGAAATAAAAAGCAATTATTCTTACGTTAATACAGATCTTCTCAGGTTGTCGCACTTCCTTTAGTTACATTTCCAATATCCCTTCTATTGTCATTCTTAGTTATGTCAATTTGCATTTATAAATACCAACAAAATCCGTATGCAACTAGCATGAATTACCATCTCTTAAGCAGCTCCTCTTTTTATTCTCAACTCTAGGTCCAGTGAAATCTCTTTGGCCCTGACAATGTCTCTAGAAATGTTACTTCAATTTAAAAAATTAAACATTTAAACCATGCTTCTGATAAGTGATAAGACAGAATATTAAGTGGCTCTAATATTATAAGATCCATTCTACCTAAGGCCTTAGAGATCAGTATCCATAAAAACAAACAAAAAAATCAAAGGTCAGGCACAGCTTTTAAACTAATGAGATCTTGTTTATCTTACTTGTATCATGGAAACCAAACAACGGTTGCATGAGTTTTCTGATCTTTACAAACATGCTTATGAAAAGTAAGGCCATCATAAATCCTAGTTTAGAAAACCTGTCCTGAATATTCGAAAACGTTTTCCTGGACTGAACCAAATCATCAGAGACCTGGGTGCCTGGAACACATATTTTGGTGTCATTGTAGAAATATACTTACCAGGATGAGTTGAGGTGTTGGCCATCAGCTAATATTCAGGGCCACTACAAGATACATCCCTTTGTTTTGTTTACTGAAAAGACAGGGCTTGTTCCTTATGAGAATGCAAAGGAAAAGTTTCTTTCGGGTTACATTGCCAGAAAATGTTCTTCTCCATGACTGGTTTTTTATTTAATGGACACTGTAATTCCTGTAACTGACACATCACACCTTCTCTGTGTGACCTATCAAGTTTCTCAGAACTGATTCATGGCCCAGGTATACATGACATTTTGGGGTGTTAACTTCACTTTAGGTATTAATTTCACCCAGAAATCAAATTTTCTCATTTACTTCTTAAATACTGTACTGTATGTATTTTCGTAAATCCTTTTTGGAACATGGTAGGGTAGAAATAAAATAATTACACAATTGCTGGGGAAAAAAAAATAAGGCTGCTAGAATTTCCACCCGTACTTGGCTAAGGTGCTTCCAGGAAACAGAAAACAGCCCTGTACCATGGACCAGTGATTTTCTAACAATAAACTGCAAATCACTTGTACACTGACAAGACAAGGCAAGATATTCTAACTTTTGCCCCTACCGTTTAAGACAACGCAGATGGATGGACGACTGTCTTCCAACTTCTCACCAGCTCAAGAGAGGGTCCAGGGCTACTTGTACGTGTTTATATACAGTTCTTCGGATCAAGACCCAGAAAAACAAACTTGCCACCTTAAAATCTTTTTGAGAACTGAAAGCTAGAAAAAATGCACATACCACAAAAATTTCGGGGGGTGGGTCCTGTAGATATTCTCCATTTATGAGCCTAAAGGTAAGAACTCCTTTCTAAAAGATGGCAAGCTTAAGACACCAGTCAATACAGCTTAGAGCCTAGTTCCTGAGAGAGAAATCCTGCATATTACATGATTTTCATGTAAAACATTCAAAGATTTTGGGGGGAGGGGTTAGGATGACACCTGCTCATATTACTTAGTAATATTCATAGTGTGATAACTGCCTCAAAATATACTGCTTTGCACCTCTTCACTCCACATGATCCCTCTATATACAGAGCAGTAAGCCCTGCATCACCTAGGTTTAGATTTCCTCGGAGGACCTCCCTCCATCCAACATTATTTGTTTGCCTCCATTGACTAGAATGGAAGTTACATGAGGGTAGCAGGGACTTTGTTGTGCTCAAGGCTATATACCTCTGGTGCACCTCTGGTGCATAAGAGGCACTCAAATATTTTTTAAATAAATCTTCTATAGGAGGCTCTATAGCCAGTTTTTGTAAACGAAATTCTACTAGAACTCAGTCATGCTTACTCATTTACATATCACCTATGGCTCCTTTCATGCTATAATGGCAGAGCCAAGGAGTTGCAACAGGGTATACACAGCCCGTAATGTCTTAAATATTTACTATCTGGCCCTTTACAGAAATAGTTTGCTTACCCCCAATAGCACTCATTTGGCCCTTATTTCTCAAACTAGATTGGAAGCACCCTAGGTACAGGAGTTGGGTCTTAATATTCCTTTGTACCTAGAACAGAGTAGATGTTTAAAAATAGCTACCACTACACAAATGCAGATTTCCTACTTCCAACATAAATTATTTTTGCACAGTTAAATCCAAAGTTAGTATTTTCCATCCTCATTCATTTCTAGCAAGGATATGACCAAAGCTCACCTATGTTCAATAATTTGAGGGACAAGGAGAAGAGAGCCTGATGCTAAGCAAGTAGTGAACTTTCTAGTTCAAACTCACAATCATGTATTCTTTAAAATGTGAATGCAACATAACTGGAGAGCTCCTCCCTATGTTTCAGACAAATGATTCTGAGGTGAACCATAGCTATTTTCTCAATGTCAAAATCATTTTAACAATGCATAATTTCTTTTTATGCCAGGCACATTATGGGTGCTCAATAGTCACTGAATGGATCATTCTCCCATAATTATTGTGCTCATCAATTTTTGCAAATTACAATTACCTGAAAGGGGGCATCAAGATTTATATCCCTTTGCCAATTCTCAAATGTGCTCAGCATTTCTCAATCCTTTAAAAAATTAGAGCCTTGTCATTCTCTAAAAAAAAAAAAAATTAATTTGCATAGGGTATCATCAGTTCCAAAGAATTAAAGAGTAAATGGATAATTTTAGGCATGGTTTCAGCCCACTGTTTACCCCAGGTGCAGAGGTGAGCAAATAAGATTTTTTCATATTATTGGATATCATTTGAAAACATTGTAGACCATGGACTAGGACAGAAAAGAAAAGAAAGGGCTAGGAGCCTTACTGAATTATCTTTACTAAGTTATTGTGAATAAGCAACAATATACACAATGATATACAATCATTTGAGAAAACTATTGTTTATTTAGAAAAAAGGTTACACTGGTAGAATTCAGTAGATAAAAAAATTTTCTTTTAAAAATGTCACTGTGAAACTTTTCCAGACTAAAGTTCAGCAATACAAAGCTCCTGTAGCTGTAGAATTAAAACATAATTAACTTTCGGTTTTCCCACCCGATTTGTCTGACATAATTACAAGAAAAAATGGCAAGGGACAAGTGAGTGCTGGTACCTTTTTCTTTTTTAAACAGGTTTTAATGTTGTACACGTACTATATAAAATGATTCCTAAGCATTGCATAAGACACTGCTCCCACTTTGTTTTTAGTGACTAATATTAAAAACAAGCCATATGATAAATTAAAACTGAGTTTTAAAACGAGGTAAATTCAAAATGGTTCAATAATTGTTTATTTTCAGTTTCAAACAATAAAAAGGTAGCATTTCAGATTGGGGAAAAAAAAACAAACAAAAAAAACCCCAACTAAACCCAGGCAATATTTAGTTAACCTAAAGTGAAATTCTGTACACATGTAACCTTATTCGCTTGTTGGGAACTGTATGCAGCACATTGTGCTAAAAATATGGAACAGTTAACACTTTCAGCCATTTACTGAAAATAAACATGTAGAAACTAAGCAACAAGTTAAATACAGTAATGCACAACTCAACAATTTTAAGTTTTCGGCATGGAGCAATAAAGCAGATAACTGAATAACTTAAGAAGATGCAAATGGGCCCTCTTGATTCATAATTCTCGGCAATCTACTCAGGAAAATAAATTTCTGGTCACGGCTGAACAATTTCATTCCAATCTCACCTGAAAGAAACAAAGTGATTATATTGATAGATAAGAAAGGAAAAAGAGAAGGAAGGAGGCAGGGAGAAGAAAGGGAAGGGGGAATGGATGGAAAAAAGGGGCAGAGGGAGGCAAGGAGAAACAAAGGAGGGAAGGGAGGGAGGGAGGAAAGAAATGAAGGAGGAGGAAAGGAGGAAAACAAGAAGGAAGGAAAGAAGGAAGATTTACGAAACAAAGAAAAATCAATGAGTTCTGTCAATAACAAAGGCTTGAATTAATAAGTCCCCAGATAAGAATGAAATATTTGTGTATTTCTCATCATTTCCCCCTCTCAGAAACCATTAAAGATAGGCACACTATGAGAAGTTTAAAAAAAAAAAGAACACTGAATATTTTGTTTGTGAGAGAGGGAGAAGTCAGGGGAGGGGAGAGAGGATAAAATTAAATAGAAACAAGAAAATATTCCACAGGGTCAAGCAATAGCTTGTCAAAAGTAAACAGAACACAGAGCAATGAAAAGGAACCGATTTTACATGATCAACAAAAAAAAAGAGAAAAATGACATCACATTTTTCACAAGGACACGATTTTAATAGTGACTTATATTAAGATGCAATGTCTGCTAAATTATAAAAATTGCTTTAAAAATATATTGACTTAACTATACTCATTTCCTTTCCTTTATGTACTGACATTTTCAAATACTGCATATTGAAATAAATTCAAAACATGATCATTACAACATGTGGCAAATAACTTCATATCTGCCTAACATTGTTCTCATTCAAATTTTAAACTAATGCTTAAAGCATTAAACTTTATTGACGAAAATACTACATTCACATATTTCATAAAACCAGAGCTAGAAGGGCCTTGGAAAGTAATCACACTTGCATGAAATGCTGACAAATAATTTACACATCATTTCTATACAGCATTCTGTTCACACCATGTATAACCTTGACATTACCAATTATAATTGTGGATACACTAATGTTGAACTTACAATTTTAATACTTAAAAATCACTGTTCCTGTCCATCACTGATGAATGGATAAACAAAATGTGGTACACATTCATACAATGGAGCATTATTCAGTTATAAAAAGAAATGAAGTTCTGATACATGCTACAACATGGATGAGCCTTGAAAACATGATGCTAAGTGAAAGAAGCCAGACACAAAAGGCCACATATTGCATGATTCCATTTTTATGAAGTGTCCAAAACAGGCAAATCCATAGAGACAGAAAGTACATTAGCTGTTTCCAGGGGCGGGGAAGGGGAGAATTGGGAGTGACTGCTAACGGGTATGGGGTCTCTTCTGGGGATGATGGAAATGTTCTGGAATTAGTGGTGATGGCTACAACATAGTGAATATACTAAAAACCACTTTAAAATGCCAAATTTTATATGTTATGTAAATTTTACCTCAATTTTTTAAATTGCAAAAAAAAAAAAAAAGTGTTGCAATAAAGAGTAGCATGGTATCAGTATGGCCATAACTAGAAAAAGAAATGGGGGTCTCAATCATGATGATGTCACAGTAGGAGAATTACTGGGCAAGGGAACTTTTGCTGACATATTTAAGGGCACATTAAAGGATAAAACTGCTGTTGCCATTAAAACATGTAAAGATGATCTTTCCCAGGAACTGAAATTAAAATTTTTACAAGAAGCCAAAATCCTCAAGCAATATAATCATCCCGATATTGTCAAACTTATAGGAGTTCGCACACAAATACAGCCTATCTGTATCATTAAGGAACTGGTTCCAGGAGGCGATTTCCTCTCCTTTCTGAGAAAGAAGGATGAACTAAAACAGTTAGTGAAATTTTCATTAGATGCTGCTTCTGGATGGCGAATCTCGAGTAAAAATTGTATACACAGGGACCTTGCTGCAAGAAACTGCCTGGAGGTGAAAATAATGTTCTGAAAATCAGTGACTTTGGAATGTCTCGTCAAGAGGATGGTGGTGTGTATTCATCTTCTGACTTAAAGCAGATTCCCATTAAATGGACAGCACCAGAAGCTCTTAATTATGGGAGATATCGTTCTGAGAGTGACGCATGGAGCTTTGGCATCCTCCTCTGGGAGACCTTCAGCTTAGGGGTCTGTCCATACCCTGGAATGACAAATCAGCAAGCACAAGAGCAAGTGGAAAGAAGATACTGGATGTCAGTCTCTCAGCAGTGTCCAGAGCGTATTTATCAATACAATGTTGAAGTGTTGGGATTACAAACTTGAAAACGGCCCCAAGTTCAGTGAACTTCAGAAAGAACTGCCATCAAGAAGAAAAGTCATATGGTGATGAAACAATGCCAAACTCAGCCTTCAGGACTCTTATCTTCCAGCAGAGTAATATTTTCTTCTCATTAACAATGCATTTATACCACATTACCTGGAACATTCTCCTAAGGTTATTGGTTTTTTTTATTTTTTTAAAAATATGTGCCACTTTAATGTTTGTAAATAACAAAGCAGAGGTGCTAAATGCAAGAGTTAACACAGATCTACCTTTTTCACACCTAGGACTGCTGATGTTTTTCACAGGGTTTCTACTTCAGGCTGGGTCCAGAGCTGGCTGTCCTCCATCCTAGACATCTCTACTCTATCGGTGCTATTGACTGCACTGGTAATACTGTGTTTGCAGAAAGACAAGATTACCTTTGTAAACATCACTTTCTACTGGGTATTATCTGGACAGGACATCCTGAGGTATTTTCTTCCCTCCCCCCAACACCCCCAGAAATAGGCCCTGCTGTATTAGTAAGGTTGCAACTTCCCTAAGTTCCACCACACCCTCCTCCTGGGCATCAGAAAACTATGCATGAATTGCCCTTGAAGAGCATGCTCTCAGAGCTGAGGAGCTGGTTTTAAATGATGTTACTTTATAGAGAGTTGTGACAGCAAGAAGCAAGTCTGAATAGTAGAGTGGTCTTGAGAAAAGAACAGCTAGACTGGTGATCAAAGTAGAGAAGAAAGGCAAATATAAATTCAGCCTTCTTATCTAAGGTATGCCCTTATAAACACACACACACACACACACACACACACACACACACACACACACACAAATTTTATGATCAAATTCACCAAAAAGACCCTAAGAAATGTTTCAATAGTACACAGATTCCTCATAAAGGAGCCTGCTTGAGGGCAACAGAATTTTTTTTAGAGAAACTATAAAACACAGGCCCACAGAATTAATAAGATTGTTTTGGGTTAAGTGTCTTCACCTCAAAGGAGGCATCTGAGAATTTGGTTCACTTCATTTTCACCAGTTTCTGAAGCTGATTTATCAGGATTTTGTGATCCTATTTCACACACACACACACACACACACACACACACACACAGTAGAAAGGCATATATGGATGAAGCTGACAGTTAAAAAGTCAAATGAACATTTATGAGGAAGAAGATATAGGAGAAAGACATAGGGACAGCCATCTTAATTCCACTTTACTCCTTCATTTACTCTCCTCATACTACTGCTACCTAGGAATTCATATCATAGCAAACATACTTCCTGAGATGTTCCATGTAGATAAATGTGACACAAAATTAAAACTGGAATTCTGTTGAACTGAATCTTAGCACACACAGGGGTGCCTCTTAGGATAAAAGCATGTATAAGGGATATTCACATTCAGGGATAAATGTGGCATGGGAGTTCTTTTCTAGGCCTATGTCCCAATAAAAACAGCACAGCACCTACTGAATATTTGGTCTACCCTACGTGAGAAAAAGAAAATAGAAAATTCCTATTTTGTCCAACTTTTTGGTACCTATGAATATCAGTGCAAAGAATGCACACCCACTAAAGAGTATAAATGATGGTAATGAAGAGAAAAATAGTTTGTGTCTATCATTTCAATCTCCTAACAAAATTTTCGAACGCATTTAATGATTACTACATACAGACCAAAATGAAAGCATAATAAACCTGCCCTCAAAAATATGTTGTAGCACACAAAGCAACCTCTTCTTAAACAGGATACTACCAAATGCTATAAAGTGAACCTTCTTTTGAGGGCAAAAAAAAGTCCAGTGCTCTTTCTCATCAATCCCAAAGAGATATACATAATACTTCTGCACATAGCTCTCCCTGTAGAGTTAACAGAGTATCTGAAACACAGCAGGCAATAGAGAAAAATACCTGGTTGCTTGATTAGAAGGAAAGGATGAAGTCACTGTCTTCAACAAGATCACAATCTAAGGAGAGGGATATGTAACATACTCATATATTACACAGGAATCTATGACTAAGACTCTGTAGGCAAGCAGACATGCCCACACATAAGCAATGGGAAACCAAAAAAGAAACCTAACTGAACACTCCCCACTCCAACAAATATTACCAGGACCTAGGACTGTGCTTCACCATGGCGACACATTCCTAAAATAAACAATCTTTGAGCACTTAGGAGGTCAGTTCCCAAGTATGGACTGGAGAAAAAAGGCTCAGAACAGGAATTACAAAATCAATTGTTTACAGACGCTAGTATATAATGGAAATAAATGAAGTGGGGTGGGGACTGATTGAGGTAAACTATAAAAAAAAAAAAAGACCCACTCTCTATATAAGGGGGGGGCAGCACCTAGGGGGCCCAGCTGATTGTTGCCATGCAGAAATCAGGACACAATGTTGCCAGATGTTCCAATTCTTCAAGAGAAACTGAAATTTGGATTTTATCATATCAATTAAAATAAGGTTAAATATTGTGTGAGGCCAAGGAAGTACATATAACAAGGCACATTCTGCCCAAGGGCTAAGAATTTGCCCTTGGGCAGAGTGTGGTTTAAAGGATAAAAGAGTTAGGTTACACCTATGATACTGGAGGTGAGAGAAGAACCTGCAAAACAGATCAGGCCTCGTTGGAGTAGAGGATTAGAACAGGAATGTGTAGTATACTACAAATACAGATGGGTAGGCTAGAGCTTAACTGCTAATATTCTTCAAAATCAAGAATCAAAGTCCAAGAAGACTGAGCTTCTCAAAGTCTGGGAGCAAATCTCAGTATGGCATCTGGTTCACAAAAGGACTCTCAAAAGTTAGTTAACCCTGACACTCATGAACTGAGGCTCACACATATCAAATTAAAATTGAGAAGCTAAAGGAACCTGGTTCTAAGAAAAACTTTTTAATAGGCAGGAGTTTTTAGAGATTAAACTAGGGGAAAAAGTTAAAGGCAAAGCAACTAGTAGTGTTCAAGAGACTAAATCAAGGAAAGATAAGATGAATTTGGACAAAAACATTAGCAATAACAAGTAACAGAAGATACAGAGAACAAGGAGAAAGGATTTTACAACTAAAAATCATGAGATAGGAAAAGACGACAGAAGACTTCGGAAGCAATTTAATCTGGGTCACATTTACACATTGTATTTTCTTACCTCTAATGTGATCATTTTAATTTTCCTGAAATCAGGGTGATATTTACAAATCAATGTCATTTCCCTATCCACTCTGCTCAAAAAATAGTTCTAGAAACCAACAATGAATCTTAACAATTAATAACATCTTTGAATCATGGAAATGTGACATTATACAGCAGCTCTCTTTTCTGTAGAACATAAAATAACTAAAAAAGGGAGCAGAGAGCTGCAGATTTGAAGGAGCCTAAAGGTAAATGGTGCCAATCAGAAATGATGAGACTTCTAAAGGACAAGGAAGAACAAAAGAAAGACCTGACTAATCCTAGAATGTATCCAAATAGAAGGAGGCAGCCAGCACAGCCAGAAGAAGGAAAAAATCAACCAGAGCCTCACAAAATTAAGAGTTTACCCAAGGAGAAAGTACAGGACATGGTTGTCAAGAAGAAAGTGAACAGGATGAACATCAAGCCAAATATATCTTAAAAGGACATCTGAACTGAGAAGGTTTGCTATAAGACCACCGACCTAACATCTAACACCCAAATCAGTCTTTTCATGCCTTTGGTCCTGAAAGCTTATAGAGAGAGGTAAAGTACAAAACCATGGCCTGTGTGAATAAGAACTCAAAGAAATCTGTAGTAAAACCTTCACATACCAAAGAACAATATTTAGGTACTGAGTAAAGAGAATATATATAAAATCACATTAAAGTGGTCAGTCACAAAGGTTGACCCATACCTAATGAAGAGATAAGTGGTAGGTTCTTTTGTTTTCTTTAATAAGGAGACCATGTGAAAGCAAGAAGTAAAAAGCAAAATGCCAAAAGAAAAGAGTAAAGTGAAGCATAAAAAAAGATGAGTTTATAGTTCACTAGGGAAGACAGCTAGTTAGTTGTTGGGGCAGGGGATGATTACAAATGAGGAATGGGCAATCTTTCTAAAGGTTTTCAAGAAAATCTACTAAATTCTAAATGTTCTCTCATAACTCTCATTTAGCCTATTCTACTACTTAGATAACAAGGAGAGAATAACAAAGCAAGGCACACACCGCTTGTTAGGATATTACCCAGCTGGCAAATTCAAGTCCCTGCTCTGCAGCCAAACTAAATGGGACAAAATCCATGCCCTAAAACTCATACCTTATATAGAACAGGCTCTCATACATTTCTGACTCTTAATTTAAACAACCGTAAACAGTCTTGGTTCTCTCTCTGGTTTCATAAAAGCAGCAGCAAATAATATTAGGGGGAGGGTAGAGACAGCAAGTATACTTGATATCATTGCAAGTATACTTGATATCATTAAGAAATGACAGCTATAATGGAAGCAAGAAAATGGGCTACAAAAGAGTTGACAACTTCAAATACGGCCATCTCAAACAATTAAATGTAGAGGGCAAATCATCCTACAAATCTCAATAATCCTAAAGTATCACCAAACAAGAGCTATTCAGATGATGATCTGAGTACTCAAAAAAGACTATCTTAAGTTCTGAACACTCTCTTCACTAAGACAGAGTAAACTACTGTCCACATACAATTTATTTAAGATGGTTAAACACTTTTTAAATCTCATACAAGGCATAATTATCTTGAAAACGTTGCATATTTTAAATTCCAGAACAAAAAGCACAGACCCTATTTTCTGGCCTTGCAAAACATGGGCTGTGGTAGAAAATGAGGCATAAAAACTTAGAACAAAAATTTCTGGATAACACATCTGCATGAAAAGGCAAAAAGAAGAACAGAGAACACTAAAGGGCAAGAAAACCTATGCTGTGAATACTGGCTCTGTCAGCTAATATCTCTGCTAGCCTCTTCAACTTAACCCCTCAGTCTCAGGTTCTTCACCTGTAAAGTGCAGATACCAGCACCACCCACAAGGCTATAGGTACTTTAAAAAAAGGTGATTAATTATCCAGAGAAGTTGGGAATGAGTGGTGAAGAGAAAGCCAGATGTTCTTAAATACATCTTGGTGCTTAAAAAAAACAAAAACAAAAACAAAACTGCGTGGCTAATCAGCAAGCTTAAGATGAAAGCAGCTTAAAAGTAACTGTGAATCTTGTTTTGCATCTGTACCCAAAGACCTGGTCATTAGAGTTAGGTGCAAATTCAAGTTGCATCTTGCAAAATGTATCTAGTTTCTCCAACATTATCAGACCTCATTTCATATTTCTATCTTTAAATGAAAGGAGGTGAGAAAACACTCACCTTGATTGAAAGTCTTCATTATCTGTGCTTGTCCGAGGACTTATGAGTAGATGACAAATTAAGGGAAAACAACTTTGAAAAAAAAAAAGGAATGGTGTCTCAACTTTTTAGTGCAGTCCTTCAGCTTGCAGGCCTAATTGGCTCCGACCAGCCTGGTAGCCTCAACTTCTACCAGCTCTGCTCATCTGCTGCATCATCTTGCCCTTCTAATCCCCATGCCCCCAGCCCAAGGCACTCTGTTCCCTTTCTTCCTCTCAGTAGTAATACGACCAGAGAGAATCTAAATCCCTTGACGGCATAAAACAACCTCACAGTCACCACAGAAGTTAAAAAAATATATATATATATCAAGTCTCCCACTTCCACATTTCATACATTTGAGAGGGTTAACTGAAGAGACTATTTAAAAGCTAGTAAGCCCTTAAACTTTATTCAGACCACATACTACAAGGGTACAATTCTGAACATGACCAGTATCAAAGCTTTCCATTACACTGATTAAAAACTCCAATAAGATGAAAAGGATATTGTTTCTTCTCTTCCTTTCCTCCTGAACTGTCCCGTTTCTCTTTCTTTTCTATCTTTTCTTTATCATGCCTGGACTCCTATAAGGAATGGTGGAATTAGTTTGGGAAGGGAAAACCAAATATAAAAATCAGCTCAAAATCCCTTTTTATCACCCATCAGTCATACATTTTCTTCAAAAACGTATTTAATGATGCCAAAAGCACAAGCAACAAAAGAAAAAAATTGGACTTCATCAAAAACAAAAACTTTCATGCATCAAAGAACACTAGCAAGAAAGTGAAAATACAATGTACGGAATGGGGGAAAATATTTGCAAATCATACATCTCATACGGGTCTAGTTTCTAGACTATATAAAGAAGTCTTACAACGGAGCAACAAAAAGACAAACAATCCAATTTAAAAATGGCCACAGCATCTGAAGAGATTTCTCCAAAGAAGATATACAAATGGCCAACAAACACATGAAAAGATGCTCAACATCATTAGTCATTAAGGAAATGCAAAATCAAAACCACAATGAGATACCACTTCACACCCACTAGGATGGCTATATTAAAAAAAAAATTAATAATTAAAAAAAACCCCAGAAAATAACAAGCATTGGCAATGATGTAGAGAAATTGGCACCCTTGTACATTGCTGGTAAAACATAAGCTGATCAGCCACTGTGGAAAAGTTTGTCGGTTCCTCAAAAAGTTAAACATAGCATTACCATATAACCCAGAAATTCCACTCCTGGGTATACGCACAAGAGAACTAAAAACAGGTCTTCAAACAAACACTTCAGAGCAGCACACGAACATTCATAGCAGCACTATTCACAATAGCCAAAGGGAAACAACAAAAAAGTCCATCAACTGACAAATGGATGAACAAATGTGGTATATGCATACAATGGAATATTATTCAGCCATAAAAAGAAATGGAAGTACTGATACATGCTACAGCATGGAAGACTCTCAAAATATTATGCTAAGTGAAAGAAGTCAGACACAAAAGGCCACATTATTATTCAATTCCATTTACATAAAATATCCAAAACTGGTAAGCCCATAGAGACAGAAAGCAAATTAGTAGTTGACAGGGGCTAAAAGGAGAGGGAAATAGGGAATGACTGCTTAATGGGTATGGGGTTTCTCTTTGGGGTGATGAAAATGTTTTGGAACTTGATAGACATGATGATCGCAAAACATTGTAAATATACTAAATGCCATTGAATTGTACACTTTACAATGGTTATTTTTATGTTATGTGAATTTTACCTCAATTTAAAAAATACTTATTTAAAAGGAGCATCACTTTTAAAACATACAGAATTTTTTTAAGTAGGCTGCACACCCAGCATGGAGCCCAACGCAGGGCTTGAACTCATGACCCCGAGATCAAGAGCCAGAAGCTTAACTGACTGAGCCACCCAAGCACCCCAAAGCACAGAGAAATTTTAAAACGATTACCTTACAATTTTCCAAAACTGCTTTTAAGAACTATGACTATATGTACCATAATAATGCTTTTGAAACACTTTACACCTTAGTAATGACTTGCCTACTTTATGGCAGATGCATGAAATGTATTATAAATATCATCCATGAGTATCTAAGAAAATGCACATTATACTTAGTTTGAAAATCAAATACAAGTTGCAAACACGTAAGTTTATTAGGAGAAAATGTTATAAAAATGTTTAAAAATTACAATTAATAAAGACTTTATGACAATGTAATGATCAGGGAGAAAGAATACACATAACCATATTTTAATCTCATGAATGTAAAGAAACCAAAAACACTGTTGGCAAGGAGGAATAAAAGAAAACACAAAAAGAAAGGGTAAAGGGTAAAGCTCAATGAATAGAAGTAGGTGGGGGTGGAATGGAGAGAAAAGGAATTTCAGAGGTAAACTAATTCTACTCTTCCCATAATTTGGCACCCAACTGGCTGGAATTCCCCCCCAGATAACCTGCCCTCCCCCACTGCCTCCCCTTCCCACCCTCAAATAAGTAACCAAAGACTATTTGATTACCAAAAAAACCTCAGTATTTGCTAAATACTCAGAGTCAATTTTTCAAGAAAAAGCCTTTTGTTCCTTTGTTTCCCTAATTTACCTTTTTGCCACCGGAGGAGATTTTATCCATCTTTTCAGATTTAAAAGAATCGCCGCCTTTTTCTTTGCCTGAAGATTTTGATTTATTTTTTTCCTTGTCTTTCTCATTTGGATAAGGAGACTCACACGGACTTTCACTTTTGTGTTTTGAAACCCCCACTAAAAGTATAAAAGAGAATCATGAAAGCCTCTTCCAGTTCAGTTTGACAACAACTTCAAAAGCATTAATAAATCTACCTACTTGTTCCATTTTCCTCTTTTCGCCTCTTGGCTAAGTCCGGCGGCACTTCACGGTCATTGTTTGAATGATCCTAGAACCAAGAATTGTGAACTACATTGATCAAGAGTTTATGTTTTTGTTTTAAAATATTACTTTTATACAAGGGTACAGCTAACTAGCATTGTAGAGTACTGGCAGTCGTTTTACATTGTAAAATGACATGAAAGACAAGCAGAGCTGGTAGACTGTTAGGCTGAAGATCCTTATTACTGTAGAAGATTCAATTCAAACACATTTTAGGGTGAAAATACCAGTTAAAACACCAACTAACAGCTTGCCATGCAACAAACTAGTACTTTAAAAAAGGCAACAAACACACTACCATACATAATATAATGGCTTTCCAAACTAGTTTTTAAAAAATTACAAACCCTTTTCCGCTCTTTCCTGTCCTTTTCATCTTTTTTCTCTCTTTCTCTGGATCTTTCCCTCGACTTGTCCAAGTCTTTCTTGTCCATTTCTCTCTCCTTACTCTTGGACAGTGGTGGAGGAGTATGATTAATGTAGAGCTGTTAAATTAAGGCAATATTACTAAAGATTATTAGTTTTCCAGTATCAGCTTCATCTGCTTGATTGTTTATTTAATGAAAGACAATTGGTAGTTAGACCCAAAGTCAAAACTGGTCAGCTGTCTGGATTACAAGAGGTGAAATACAAGAGCATGGCACAAATTATGCAAAGACTTCAATTCTTGGCCTTACAAAAATTTTCATTTAAACTCAATCAGTTCATTCCTGTCTTAACTGAGACTCATGAGTAAATCTATAAGCTACAGTTCCTTTTATAACTCCATTGTGAAGATCTATAACCACCACTACAGGAGTCCATGTGAAAAATAATGACTGACTTTCTCTACTGTAAAAAAAAAAAAAAGAAAGATACAAACCTCTACACAATCACAGAAATTTTAGTTTTACCATCCACTTACAAGGCAAGTAAGCCAAAGTATAAAATAAAACCTAGCCATTGATTTTACTAAGTCTTTTCTGCCTCAGCATATACCATGCATACATTACCCTAAATTATTTTTATAAATGTAAAGGCTGCATATCCTCTACTTCTGAAAGCACTCCAATTTCTACCAAATAATCACAACAGACTGTGAAATTTGTCTCACTGGTTCTAAATAGCTCAGAAAACCATTTGGTCAGCTGAGGATGATAAAAAAAACTCAGAGACTGAAAAATGATGAACTGATGTCTGCCTATTGTTTCAAAAGGCCCACAGGCAATAAACAGCCAAAGATCAAGGATGTGCTACCTAAATAATTAAGAGACAACCTTAATAACTTATGCAAGTTGTAAATATGGAAATCTAGTATAAAAGAAAACATTAAGGAAGTTATCAGATACCTATCCTTACAGCATTTGTAACTGTGCTACAAGTTTATGTTCAATTTAAGACGTTACAAGTATTAGGCAGAATATGAAATATAACTCATTACATAACTACACAATCCTAGATATACCTTAGGAATGAAAACAATAGTGAGTCAAAAGTCAAATAGTTTTACATGAGGAAATCCTTTGTAGTCAAAGGAATACATCAAAAAAAGACCATCAGTTTGAAAATTAAAGAAACACTTTAACACCACCAAATATTTTCAATTCAGTTGGCTCAGAAATACTGCCATTAGCAATGCAGAAGTAGATTCTTTAAAATGTCAATGTTTAAAAGTTGATGATCAACTGAAATAGACAAAATTTTATTAATAACAAAGAGCAAGAGAATGAGAAACAGTCATAAAAGTGCTTGTCTGAATGGTACTCTTGCTGGGTTAATGCCCTATACAACACTTCAAGATTTTCTAATTGTGAGGTTTATTCATATCTTAAGTTAATATTACTTATGAAAATGATAAGACAAAAGAAATAATATATTCCTGCAATACTCAAAGAAGATTTCTCTAAGGGAAGTATTGCTTAATTCTCCTGATAAAAGAAAAAACGGGGGGGTTGTGATTACAAGTAAGTACACACAAGCACACGCATGTACATACACACGCACACACACTCCTCAAGAATGAAGTTTTTAATTGTGCCTAACTTGAATTCTGTATTGCAAGGACCTGAGAAACCTATATATTCTTACTTTAGAAATGTACCTAATTCTATTCATTCTTCCTACCCTTCTAAAAATAGTTCTGATCACAATACTCTTTTCCATAGTAGGATGCAGTCTCTCACTGCCTACGGAATAAAATGCATACTCCTTAGTACTTCCAAGCTCTTCACAATCTTTGCACAATTATATCCTACTATAGGGCAACCTAATGCACTCTATGCTTTGGCTACCACTGGCTCCCTAACACCCTGTCCTTCCCAGCAGTTCTCTTCACCAGAATGGTAGCTCACTTTATCTTAATCTCTTAAAATCCTACTAGCCTTCAAAGACAGCTCAAAAGCCATCAGCACTTCAATCGTCCCTCAACTCTGCAACTCACTTTCCAGTGAATTCCTGTTATTATTATATATTAACCTTTTCTTGTGAAAGGTATTCCCTATTAATTTCATGTCACTTATTCTTGTCCATAACAGTTTCCAGTATGGCAGGGAAGCTAATGTGTCTTTTCTACTTTTACACACTTCCTACTGCCTTGTACACAACCAAGTACTAAATACATGTTTGCCAAACAAAATGAATGATTTGTTAAATTGATCTGCATATAGTGTTGATGGATTTTGCTTTTCATTTGCTTTTATTCTTTACATTGGGATCAACCCGGTCCAAAAAACATGACTGATTTTCAAAATCTGTTAACACTGCTACACTGACTTTATCAAGGCTACCATATATAAAGATGGCCTCACTTGTAGGCTTCCCTTTGATTATAAATCCTTGTTTTAAGACGATGAACAGAATTAAAACCTGAATTCTGTTTTGAGTGGTCACTGCTGCCCTCCTCAATTACAGAGAAGCTTGGGTAAAGAAAATGCTTTTCACGCTTTCATCAAATGTAGCTGCCAGGTTTGCTAGGTGAAAACACAAGTGACCAAACTGGAAATATGCCAATTGGAAGTTGGGGGTGGAAGGTAAACAGAAACAATTTGGATACTAAGCTAGATTTTTCTCCCTTTAACAAATCCCACTTGAAAAGCCAAATCCATGTATTACTTTTACCATGGATTAGAAGGGGAAAATAGTTAAGTAATTTAATAAAAAAGAGGATCCCAGGGAAAAAGCATAACTAAAAAAAGCACAGAAACAATTTTATATGTACAACTGACAAGAGAACACGAAAAATATACACACATCATTCAAATCCTCTAAAAAGTAAAAGCTACCCCAGAAACAGTGAGTTGATAGATCGTCGATTTTAAAGATCAAAGTCCGGTAACGTTTTTTTGGGGGTTTTTTTTGTAAGACATTCATATGCTATTGAACTTTCCTAGACATATAAAAATGCAGACCAGTAATCTGTGGATGCTTTACCAAAGTCCAAAGGCATAAGAGTTCATTTCAAATAGTTATTGAACACCTAATCATATCACCAAGTTAACCATACTGAGCACTAAGGATCTGAAAAGTGGTATGAGTCACACGATTTTCACAAGTGCATTCAGATGCCATTTTCAAAAATTTCTGGTTGAATGTGGAATAAATCTACTGAATTTTAAATATCCAGAAAATCACTATCTTTTTTCAAAGGGGGATAGGGAGACTGACTTAAAGCACTATAATTTTAAAAACAAGGCAAACACACTAAAGGAGTTAGGAACCCATTTCGACTACTGCTGAAATGGGTGCAAAGAATCAAGGGACCATATATTTTTTTTGCAATTTTTTTTTCATTGTGGTAAGAATACTTGAGGAACCTTAATTTTAGTCCAAGTTTTGGTACTACTAACAAGTTATATGTCACTGGGAAAAGATCAAGAACTTTTTCAGTCTCTTATTTGTCCAAAAGACACTACCCTCCTGCCCTAACTACCTCACAGCACTGTTATGAGCATGAAATGAGATAACATGTTTATCTCACATGTTTTATTTTCAAAAGGCTTTCACAAATTTAAGGAACCATAATTTTCATCATTGATGAGAAATTCCAGTTAACTATAACAGCAGGTTTCAAACTGCTTCAAAGTATGTTTCAGGAAATAAATACTCACAAGGTAACATTGTTAACCCATGAATTTAAAAATAGCCCACACAAGCCACTGATGGTTAAGACTGACATACATAATCCCAAACTGGTTATGAAAACCAACTGTATTGCAATACATATTTTAGCCAATAAAAAGTTTTACCTTAAAAGAAAGCATTCACACAGTACAGCTAATACTCTTTTGATTAATACAGTATACTCTAAAAACAATGCTACAATTTCAGGACAAAGGCATATTGGCTAACCTAAACTATTAAAAAATTAGTGCTTATTGCCCAATATCCACAGACATTTCATTATAAAGCTACAGATCTAAAAGCAGTTAGTAATGTCAACTGGCTTTGTTTCAAAATTTCATTTTGTATTGGTCCACCAGTAAGAGATAATACTTAGCAGATATAAGAGGAGGCAAAGTAGAAAATCAAAGTGAAAGAGGGTACAAATTTTATAATAAGTAGACAAAATAACATGAACAATGGACAATTCAACTACAATAATGAAGTGAACTCTGTAATAAGATACACAAACTGCACATTATTTTTAGAAGAATACTCAAGAAAGTAGAGTAATAGGCAAGAATTAATACTGACATGTAAACACGACCATCAAGTTGAGTATTCCCCTCCAAGAGAATGATTAGTTGACATTAACCAGATTTCTTGATAATTATGCTACAACTACCAAAAAGGTAGCTCAGCAGAGACAATAGAGTTTTATGGATTGAGATGGGCTCAGTTTTTAGAAAAGTATGTGAATGCATCAAATTTCTTTTCTGGTCTTTTGGGTTGTCTAAAAAAGTCAGAAAACAACCTAACGGATTTGTTTTGAGAAATTAAATAAGCTTACTCCCCAAAACAAACCAACAACCCCTTCCCCAAACCTTAAACTTATTTCCAGATTTTGAAGCATAAAAGGATAATGCATAACACAGCAAGCAAAGAGAGATTATAGAAATGTTGCCACATTACACGCATTTGATAACAATCTCATTAAAAGGGACCGTTGTCATCCATTGTTTCAGTTTGTGATAGGTATTTTTAAAGGTTATTCACTAGCTTACTGAATTTACTAGGGTGAAAGTATCTACTAAATAAATGAAGAATTTTTTGTTTTACTTAGGCATGATGATTTTAAAAGACTCAAACCTTTGCTGAAGACTCCTTGAGTTCGATGAGACTGTCCTGTAGAAAATGAATGGAGATGACAGGTGAGCTGGCATAGTTCTCAGAACCCAGAGGAACTTTGGGAAGTATGGCTGTAACCTGGAAATAAACCAGCTACTTCTTGTGAGGATAAATCTTGTGATGTCAATTATTATATGAATATCAACAATAAAAAACAAAAGCAAAACCATGTAATGGAATTGTAATGTTAAAAAAACTAAATTATATGTGCTCAATGTAACAAATAAAAATCTTTCTCTGTTCATAATTTAAAAATAAATGTCAATGCCACATTTTTCATAACACTGTATGTAAACTATAAGTAATGTTAAGAGGCTCAAGAAAGCAAAACACTTTTTTCCCTCCACAAAAGGTTTAAAACAGTGGAGGTCACTGTGGAAGAACATTATCTTACATTTTCATGGTTGTTCTTTAATTGGGAGGTTTCAAATTTTACTTCACTTATGACTCTACCATAAATATAGACATTCTTAATCCTAGCCAAAAAACTCAGTGGCATTATATTAACAAGAAAACAAAATGTATTCTCTACAAGAGTAGTCACTTTTTTGCAAAGTGCCTCTGATGGTGAATCTCATACCTCCCACAAAAAAAGCACTTAAAAAAAAAAAGAAAGAAAAAGAAATCAATTACGGTATTCCACCACAGTGCTCTTGATGAAGAATTAGTTAACTTACAGTTTTAAAAGTTCAACGTACTGCAAATTCAAAGATTCCATGAAATTAGATGACTTTAGAATTAAAATTAAATATGGAGCAAGGAATGGCTACCCTGAGTCTTCAAGAAGGCTACACCCACGATTTTGTGCTGCAGTTGAATGCCTGGGGTTTCTCTTTGCTGGGTGGTAGGATTGGATGCCACATCTGCTTTTATCGTAACGCAAGGTTCAACTTGTTGGGAACCCAATGGGTATAAACAAACCTCCAAGGGAAGATACAACAGAAGCTGCATGCTCACTGAATATACATAACTACAGGAGAACTGATCACCAAGGAGACTTTAAAATGGAACTCCTTTCAAGACTCCTTCTTAGAAGGCACACATCGGTATGATGCTCATCAAGAAGCTTGATGAATTCAGAGGTATCTTGTTTATCCTGTATCATCCAGGAAGTCTTCAGGGCTATATATTCTTCAATATTTATGCTGAAAAATAGGCTTCATTCTGCTGAAAAGATTCATTTGCTTGTAGCTACCATTGCACTCCAAAAAAGACTGCTTAAAGCAGTGAGGCACTTCTGGGTAAAATTTTTCTTGCACTTTGAAACACTACAAAATTAGTGCTAGGTCCTTGAAGTTTTAATATTTTTATAATAAAAATACTCAATAGGAAAAAAATATCAGTCCACCAATATGTAAAAAATTCATTTTCTAATGCAATATAAAACCTCCAGTGGCTCCAGTGAATACTTGGCACAAGACTTGAAGGAAGTCAGGACACGTATTCCAACCAGGTGAGCCTAACATGGACGCTGCCTTCCTCAGGCTATACTAACCTTTACTGTTGAGGAATGTGATGGAGAAGGGTGGGTATCAATTTTGCGGCGTTTCTGTTCTGTTGGGACAAAAAGAAATGGTCACAGTAAGATAGATTTCTACTTTTTCCAAACACTTAAAAAATCACCACTTTTAAGGTCACTTTTAAAATCACCTTTAAGGTCATCAAGTATTCGCTCCCCGCCCCCCACAAGTAAAGTCCCTAGATAACTTGCCGAAACAAGGAAACAAGAACCAACTATACATTAACAAGAACCGAAAGTAAACCATATATAAAGAAAGGCAAACTTGCCCCTTTCAGGTTCTGCAACATCTGATCGGGGAACAGGTGACTTCAAGGACCCAGAAACTGGTGTTTTTTCTCCTCCTTTAACATTTTCCTTTGATTTCATTTCCTTTGCTATATCTCTTTCTCTGGATGGCTCCTTCTCTCTTTCCTTTTCTTGAGTCGATTTTGATTCTACGTTGGCAACAGTGGTTTTGAATTTCTCATCTTTAGCTTTTTCTTCCTTCTTGAATTTTTCTTTCTCTTTGTCTGACTTGGGTGTTCTTTCCTTCGTCTCTCTTGCTTTTTCATCTTTATTTGGCCGCTCTTCCTTCGGTTTTTCTTTACCATCTTTACCAAGTATCCTGGCCTCTGGAGTAGTAGCTGGAGTCTTTTCTTTTTTCTCTTTTTCTTTTTCTTTCCCTTTTTCTTTGTCATTTTCTTTAACAGCTTTGCTGCTTAAGAATAAAAACACAAGATCTTAAGACAAACAGTCATAAAACATATTCCATGTTATAAATCCTAAAGGATTTCTTACTGACTTCAAAAATACAAGAGTAGCCCTTTGAAAACTAAAAGACCTTAAAGACAAGTAAAAAGTACTTCTTTATTCATTAAATAATAAATGACCAAATTCATGAACAGCAGATTAAAAAAGAATGACTAAAGTGATGTCAGGCCGTTCTTTGTATATGTTCATAACCTCTGAGGATTACAAGGTCACAACCAAAAATTATCCCACAAGCCGATCAAGGGTGCTATTATCAGGAACTGGATTACTTGGCTGGATGGATCACTGGTCTAAATCAGTGTAGGCTTCGTTTACGTTCATTATCCTTACCCAGAATGCCCACAGCAAGCACTCAATCCTAAAATGTTTTTCTAACTTCACCACCTACCTTCATCTGCATAACTCAGCAGGGGAAACAATGTCAGTCTCAGCATTATATAAGACATAATGAGGACAGTTAAGCGCATCACCAATTAGGGGTACACACAAAATTTCAAGGTCCAACATAAATGACTTTCACAGTATTCAACTACCACCCTGTTCCATTCATGTCTAATGAGGTTAATCATATAAGAATTTAGAATTCTGACATATAGCCAGTGTTCCTACCTGTTAGAGCTACTGTTTCCATTGCTTGAATTCCCTTTCGGTGTGGCACTAGAAGCTTTATTAACAGCTTTCACACCACACTGAGATCTCTCCCTTGATTTATCTGAAATAAAGGTAAGGTTTTATTTGACAAGCCCCTAATTGTAAATAAACTATAATTTCACAGCAAAATGATTAGAGATTAATTAGAAAGAAACAAAGGGCTAATTTCTTCTTGACAGTTACATACTCCTACCTAAGGAATAAACTCTAATACTAAGCCAACATTTTATTTGTCATGCAATATAAAACAGCTTAGTTTGTTGAAACAAAATGTATTACTTATAAATTTCTACAAATAAGCATACCAGTCTCCTCAGTACTGCTTTCATCCGACTTAGATGCGCTTCCTATCGACGATGAAGAAGGCCCACCACCAGGCCCATTTTGTACACTGGCAACTGCATTCCTCGGAGGGGGGTCTTTGTGATGAAACTCATTTTCAGGTATCATGTATGACTTTCTACTTTTCAACTGCCCAGAGTAGCTGAAAGTCGCACAAAGTGTTTAAATATACAAATACAAATCAAAAGCACAAACATGGAGTTTAAAAGAATAAAATTAGCAAATTATTCACTCTGCTACTTGGTTTCAGAGAATAAAAAATACTAATTTTCAATAAGTTCCTGAAGGTCTTTATAGAGAGCCCCAGATGCTTTCTTAAAAAATAAAAATTTCAATGTAAACTAATCCTTTAAACTAAGATGCCTTTTTCTCACTACCAAAGATCCAAAACTCAACTGACGATAATAAAATTACATTTCCTCCAAACCAAGACATATTGTATATGACTTTTGAAACTATCATCCAGTATAGACCGGAAGCTGATAATCAGAAGTGACAACTCTCACCAGCCTGTGGGAACATGATCGCATAATCTCCCATAATCTCCTGAAGTAAGGCAGAAGATAAACTTCAACACTGTAAAACATTTTAAAGTCTTCAGAATCCTTCTGTCATCTAGTCTCATAAGTCACATTAAAGTATAATTCTGTTACCCCATAGCCAATGCATATAGATCTGGCCTCTTCTCTTTTTCTTCTTGGCAGATTTTATGCACTCTTCTTTCCAAAGCCTGACCCAAATTCAAAACTTTTGGGTACCAAGGAAGTATTTTTGTTAGCACAATCAAGATATTCCTGATGTGAGTATATTCGCCTGTTTCAAGGCAATGTACGGATGCCTACAACAAACATTTTAAGATCTATTATTACAAAAGTATAAGTATAAAGAAAAAAACCACCTTTGAGAAACATAATTTTTTTTTACCTTGGTTAGTTTGTAATGCCATTTATGTACAACATGTCGAAAATTTTCATAGTCTAATTGGTCAGCTTTATTTCCACCATCAAATCCAGTGGCCCGTAATATAGTAAGGAATCCTGGATAATTTCCACATTCCTTGGGGGGGGGGGAGAAAGGTCGTTAGAGAAAAATTCTGCCCCTAAAATAGCAGAAGCTGAAAACTTAAGTGGACTAGATTAATGATTCCATGCAAAAACAAGACGTGTATTTGAATGACAGGTAGTTTTCACAGAAAGGTTCAACTTATTCAGTGGTAGGAATTTGGAATGTCAGTTTGAGATAGATTTTTTTAAAAAGCACTTTTTAATAATGAATGATGTTTAAATTTTAAACACCGTTTTACAACTGAATCTTAAACTCAGCTTCCCTTTCAGAACTGAACCTAAAGATTACTGAAAGCTGCTGTTAGATACATGGGTAAAATATAAGGGTGTTTATTAGCCATACCTTTTCATACGTGGCTCTGTCACTGTGCCACCGGGTCACAGTCTCTAACATGCAGCAAAGAAATCTCCCATACCGACTAGCTTCATTTTCAGTACAGCTTGCAACTGTGTAAATTATATCAGAGAAAACCTACAGGAAAAATGTTTGAAAAATAAAAACAAATCAAGGTCAAAATTAGTTCAAAATAGTAAAAGGTTTTTATAGCAAATAAACTGAACAGGTTAGTTTAGTCAAAATGTATCTTCCCCTTTTATAGTCACAATTCCAGAAACCTTTAAAGATTTTGGCCTTTGTGAGGAAATAGCTCATTCATAAAGCAACAACAACAAACTTTTATTTAAAAAAACTGATTTACAATGACAGTGGAAAAAACTATCATTATTATTACAACATAACTTCTTCAACAAAGACTTAGCCATAGATATTACTGAGGTTAGGGGGACAGTAAGCAGAGGCGAGGCTGACAGAAACTAGAAATAGGCAGCTGACATGCTGTGACATATACTACATTTTAAAACCACAAATGCAGTATTTACTATTAAGAAAAAAGCCAGATGCAAAAATACATAAATGTAACCACACTGAAAAGCATCCCTGCTTTTATGTGTGAAGGTGTAAGCTGTTTTGTTGTTTTTTTGAGGGGGTGATGGTTAAGAAAAAGAGTTCTATTATGACAAACATATAAACCCATACTATGAGTTACTAGATGAACTAGGGGTGCTTTTTACATGTCAGGCACTACTCAAAGCACTTTCGTGTGCAGTGACTCATTTAATTGTCACAACAATCTTATGAAGCAAGCACTATTATCCCATTTTACAGATAAGAAAACTGAGGCACAGAGAGGTTAAAAAACTTGCCAAAGATCGTATAGCTAGAAAGTAGCAGAGCTAGGATTCAAGTTCAGGCACTTGGCTCTTGAGTTCATGCTTTTAACCACACACACAATAATACCTCTATAGATTATAATGTTTAGCTATCTTTGTGTGAGTTTTTTTTTTTTTAAAGGTTGCAATAAAAAGAACTTACTCGATCATAGCAAAGAAGTGTGGAAAAATTTGGAGTTTTCTGTTGATGTACCAATTCAACAAAACGAGCACAGTAAACAGCATCAATTGCTGAAAAAATACATCGAGGAAATATACACAGCTGTAGAAATTTTGTGATGGTCTCATTTTTGGTAGATTCTAAAAATAAGGGAAGAATATATTAAGTGGTAAACTTCTTCCTCAAGTGCCTCAAGACCACTAAACATGACAACATATTAATTTTAGTGTAAAGAATGCTATAAAAAAAAACCCACAAACTCCTTATAGTTTGTAACCAAAAGGTCATGCCTGGGATAAAACTTTCACTTTCACTACGTGGACATTTTTCTATCTATAACTTCTCCAGAAACATGATTTCATACAGAAAGGTTGAATGATAAGCTGCCAATATTGTAGTTATAAGTTAATTTCACCAGCAAACTAAAACAGTTCCTTTGGTGAACATGTGAGGTCGACTCTGCATTTATGAATAACCAAAGAATGGGATAGTGAACACTGAGCTGAAATACAAACATAATACACTTCAACACCTCTGAAGTTATAGAGGTTTGCTTTTGTAATTTGGCAGTAGCAGGAACATAACAATTCCAACAACCTACTTGCTAAAAGCCAGTTGTCCTTTTCCAGTTTCAGTCTCTGTAGAACTCGCTGTACATGTTCCATCTGTTTCTTTTCTTCTTCAAGAAGCTTGTCCTGAAGGGCAGTACAACGCTCTTTCTCTTTTTTCTTTTTATTTGGAGGCTACGAAGTATAAGTTAGATACTTTTCTAACTACATGCACATTACCTCCCTTCCTTTTAATTAAAAAATTCAAAAAGAGATCAGTGCTGATATTTTATATTTACCACTTCACAGGGATATTGAGGAGTCTACCTGGATGTGCTTTCACCGCCATTCAACAAATTCAAAATCTGGTCTTCACATCAAAACAGGCTACCTTCCTAGCACTCATACTTTTAGTCTCAGGCATGAAGTCGTCTTTGACTCTTCCTTCTCCTTCATTCCAGCATCCCGATTGCTTACAAGTCTCATGCATTCCCACTACCTCCACCAATAGTCTATGTTCTCAGTACTTCACAATGAATTACCCTAAGAGCCACCTAGCTGGACTCCAGCCTTGATGCCAGTCCCTTCCCCTAAGAAATGCATCCTTCGAACCACTGTCAAGAGTAATCTTTCTAAAGTACCATTTTTACCATTATCACTTCCCTGCTGAGGAATCTAATATAGCTCTCAATTTTATCAAGTCTTCTTTACTAACTTTCACTTCTCTACATAATCTGATCCCATCCTAACCATTCAAATTTATCACTAAGCCCATTCACTACAGTAAAAGTGGTCTCTTTAAATCTTAAATTACTTCATACCTTTGCTGAAGCTCTTGAGTGGCCAATCTGCCTCCCTATTTCCAAACCTAATCTACCTTCAAAGCCTACCTAGCTCGACTCACCTCTTCAATAAAGTCTTCTCCTAAAGAGTTCTCCTTTTGGGAACTCCTATTGCTCTTGCAACTGGAGTCACACAGATCATTTTATATTGCTAACACAATCTTCAGTTTAAAAAAAAAAAAGCAACTCAAATACCTTTTGTGTGATCATAACTGCCAGGTATTCACCAAGCCCCTGCCCTACCCACTGGGAGGTCACCATTAACTCACTTAGGAAAATACTATATAGCAATAAGATCACAGCTTTAAGGAACCTGAACTAATACAAAGCATGCGTAATATTAAATTGTTACCATGAAATTATTGTACTTGAGCTACTAGAACAAAAACCTACCATTTCCTGATTGTCATCAATTGCTTTCATCTGGACTTTAAGTTTATTGACTTCCCGTTCATAGCTGGTGTGTGGAACTGCAAGGTCATACATTGTCAATGACCAGAATGTGGCATAGAACTGAGGGCTGATGTCATCCCAGACTTTGGAAACGTGTAAGGAGACCACTGCTTCATGGACAGGAGCCATCACCATTTCACATGATGTAATATACTTGTGAACTTTATGTTGCTGTTTACTTCCCTTTTCTGATTTTTTAAGTTCATCATATTTAGACTGGAGATAAAAAGTAAAAACAAACACAACACAATTTATAGCACTAACTTTCATAGTATAAAAACCTATATGTTCCCACACTGCACCAAAAACTAATGATGTAATATATGGTGATTAACATAACAATAAAAAATTAAAAAAAAAACCTATATGTTCCCTTTTCAAGAATCAGAAGACAACCAATCAAAACTGTTGTAGGAATTCTAAGTTCTTACCAATGACATTTATTTTAAGATAAATCATCCCTGGAAGCTGTTCTCATCTTTAGTCCTGTGTGATCACTAGGAGCTTTTAAGAAGATTCTTATTAAATCTCACCTGTTGCATAAGTAAATAGGGTATGTGTACCCCCTCCACCATCCATATCTTCCACCGTACTCTCGCTTACTACTACATTAAGAATTGAACATGTAGGGTTTCCACTCCAGCTTTTAAGATCTTCAAGGGAACCAAGTAAAGGGTCTTAACACTAGTAAAGAGGCATAATGGAACTAGGAACAACCAACCAGCACAGTATGCTTTATTACTACACATAGCCCCTGTTGGCCATTACAATTTGTCAATTAAGAAAGTGGATCTGGGGGCGCCTGGGTGGCTCAGTTGGTTAAGCGACTGCCTTCTGCTCAGGTCATGATCCTGGAGTCCCAGGATCGAGTCCCGCATCGGGCTCCCTGCTCGGCGGGGAGCCTGCTTCTCCCTCTGACCCTCCCTCCTCTCATGTACTCTCTCTCTCTCATTCTCGCTCTCTGAAATAAATAAATCTTTAAAAAAAAAAAGAAAGAAAGTGGATCTGGGGCGCCTGGCTGTCGGTGGAATGTGCAACTTTTCATCTCAGGGTTGTGAGCTCCAGCCCCACTTTGGGTATAGAAATTACTTAAAAATAAAATCTTCAAAAAAACAAAAAAAAAAGAGAAAGAAATTGGATCAACATTAAGAAAGGCTATGAGAGGGCGCCTGGGTGGCTCAGTTGGTTAAGCGACTGCCTTCGGCTCAGGTCATGATCCTAGAGTCCTGGGATCGAGTCCCACATTGGGCTCCCTGCTCAGTGGGGAGTCTGCTTCTCCCTCTGACCCTCTTCCCTCTCGTGCTATCTCTCATTCTCTCTCTCAAATAAATAAATAAAATCTTAAAAAAAAAGAAAGAAAAGAAAGGCTATGAGAAAGTTACTATAAGACTGCTAAGTAGGGTGACTAACTGTTCAGGTTTGCCAGTGAATGAGGGGATTCCCAGGATGTAAGAGTATAGTGCCAAAACTGGCAAAGTCCCAAACAAACCTAAATAAGACTTTTTTTATTTTTAAGATTTTGTTTACTTATTTCAGAGAGAGGGAGTGAGCATGCATGAGCGAGAGCAAAGGCAGTGGGAGGGGCAAAGGGAGAAGGAGAAACAGATTCCCCACCAAGCAGGGAGTCCAACACAGGGTTCAATTCTAGGACGCTAGAATCATGACCTGAACTAAAGGCAGATGCTTAACGGACTGAGCCACCCAGGCGCCCCTAAGTAAGACTTCCTATGAAATGGATATGGTATATTAGTTTAAAGCATGTGGGAATTGACACTGCAGCTTTTTTAGACTGGACTGGTTTATCCTAATTTGGAAGAGAGTCAGAGGAAAGCCATACTTTTCATAAGAGTATGAGGAAAAGAATCTGTTAGTACAATGGGAGGGAACTACATATTAGTTCACAGAGCATAATACCAAATGTAAAAAAGAAAATAATACAAAGTGTTGTTGCTATTGTCTCATGTCCTTCAGTCTAAGATGAAAATTTTGTCTGGGTTAGGCATCATCCCTGAATATGAACCTAAGAGGAGATTAAAACATTTCTTTTTGTTAGAAAAGCATTTAAATCATCAGTTTGTACCAAACATGGAACCCAGAACTAGAAGGTCAGAGGTCAAAGGTTCCACTTCCAGTTCTGCATTGTGGTAGACAAGAGTCTTGGCTCCTTACACTCCAGCTGTCTTCCCTCCTAAGTGTCTCTATACCCCAGGCTAACTGGACTGAAGATATACCAAGTATTTTGTTCCAGAGGGTATCTCAAGCAGCATCTTACAATTATTATAATTACAATCTGAGACTCTTACAATTTTTCTGTAAGTGGATTTACCTTCTGTTACCCCCATTTTAGAGAGCACGCTGATAATTATGAGACCACACAGGTGACAAAACTACAAACAATATTACTTATGAGAGAGAAGTCCCAATTACATCACAGACCTGAGAGAATAATAGCAAGGATAAGGAAGCATTTTTACACTTTGAGGGCAGGTCCTGTTGATGGTAACTAGTATCAATCTGTGAGGCAGAATGACATCTGCTAAGGTTCTAACAAAACACAGAGTAAGCAGTGCCAAAACTACCTGTATAGGATAGCTTAACTACCTGATTGGGGCAAGATCTAGAATATGAAGTGGGTGGGGGAAAGCCTTTCTTTCAGAACTGTGTTACAAGGTGGGTCTCAACAATTAGAACTGAAAATTAGGTTTATAGGTATGAGAGGGTAATGATGTGGTACAACAGCCCCCCATCTCCCCAGTCCTCCGGTTCTGAATCTGTCACTTTTATTGCTAGGTACCCACCTAGTCCCTATCTAGTTAAAAAAAATTAGGCTTGATCAGAAAAGACATATTTAACTAGGATGAATAGTTCCTGGTCTAAAGTTTAACTCCCTCTTCAAGCTTACACCTTCAGTCAAATGGAGAGGCATAACAGTTCTACATCTCAAGTCACTCAGTGCACTAAATCTATGAAATAGAACTGATATCCACAGTTACTGCTATACTTCTAATTCCTGTTCAAAAAGCTCTTCTTGCCCCAATAACCTGAACAGTGTTTGGATGGCTGAATTATTCCCATGAGAGCCTACTGGTAATCAATTTATGGAAGGGTCCTAGCAGTCCTCCAATATTCATACCCTCTCATCAAAGGCTCTTCAAGAGAGGCTCTCAGGCGCCTGGGTGGCTCAGATGGTTAAGCGTCTGCCTTCGGCTCAGGTCATGATCCCAGGGTCCTGGGATCGAGTCCCGCATCAGGCTCCCTGCTCAGTGCAGAGCCTGCTTCTCCCTCTCCCTCTGCCATTCCCTCTGCTTGTGCTCTTCTGTCTATCTCTCTGTCAAATAAATAAATAAAATCTTAAAAAAAAGAGAGAGAGAGAGAGAGAGAGAGAGAGAGAGAGAGAGAGAGAGAGGCTCTCATCCAAGAAGCAAAAGCAAGGATCCCCAGGAAGTTTGGGTGTCCATCCAGTGCAACCAAGGTTGCCAAAGAAGTCCTTTTCCAGAGGGTGTTATGTGGCCTATTGGTAACAGACTTATCCCTGATTTGGCTCTATAGCCACCTCTATAGAGTTCTTTGTTTTCCTCTGCAACCCTGAGAGGGGAAATGACATTTCTTTTAGATTTTTGTATCTCTTAAATGACAAAGACACAATATTTTACACAGGCTACAGAAAAGGTAGCTATTAGTATGAATGACCTGCTCCATTTCTGACCTGGAAAAGTTCAGCCAACCTCAGGCAACCAGGTGTTCCTGTTTGCTAGGGTTCAATATTGCTGATTAGTGTGTTAACCTCTCAGTATAACACAGGGCAGGTCAGAATTCCTGAGATGAAGCAACTCTCCCACCTCAGTCATTCAAGAAATCAGGTCCCCTGTTGTATAGCCTGAGACTGATCTACTGCGGGGTGGGGTGACAACACAAGACATAACTACGCAAAGAGAGCACACCATTTTCTGGAGTGAAAGATTCTAAAGGAGGAAAAAAGAGGCCTAATCCTACCCCCTGTCCCTTTTTCCGTTCTGGAGAATATAGCACAGTATTGCTGTATAATGCTAATCAAGTGATAACTGAATCAATTAACAGTTACTTGTTAGAGGGAAGTGTGACACGGTAGCAGTTGATATGTAAACACTAACAGCTGATGGTCAATTAAATGATCAATTAGACTCCAAATTTCTCAGCGTCTTTTTCCCACACCTCCACTACACAACCCTATGTTCCTACTGGGAACAAAGAAGGGATCCTACTTTAAGAGAAAGGACCAAGGTCTTCCCCCAAAATCTGTAGTGAAAGCCTTCCTTACACAGTACAGACTTAAAACCAACAACAAATAAACAGAAGGGCCAGAATTCAAGCCTACACAAAGATGAAGAATGTGCTGGGGGGCTCCAGTCAGAATGGAGAAGTACTATAGTTTCCAAACAGAGGCCTGACCATGGTGAAGTAAAAGGAAGAGTCAATTCCCATTAGAGGTCACTGCTTTGTAGGCAGGAGTCCAGGTGGCAGAGAAGAGGAGGGAAGGCAGTCTCCTCTTCCCCCAACCATCCTTACAGTCACTGCTGGGATGCCCTGCTTGGGAAAGCTCTGGTTTGCTTTTGTGCTTTTCTTTTTAGTTGTCTCATTTAGGTGGAGAGAAATAAAACAAGAACTATGAATACCTTTCCGAGAAGTTACATAACACAACCTACAAGAGTTTTTAGAGTGGTTGGAGGTGGTTAGGTCTTTCTGTCTGTATTTCTCTCAAGGCAGTATGAATAGCAAGTCAACTGACAGGGATATTGTTACTGAGGAAAGAGGACTCTGTATTCAATAGGAGTGTTTCGCAGAATCACCTACCAGATTTTCCTGCATCAGAATCAACTAGCACTTGTTAAAAAACAAACAAAAACAAAAACTAAACAGAAATTCCCAGGTACTATTGAAGTTACTACCATTAGAATCTGGGGACACGGGATTGAGTTTCAAAGATGCTTCGCTGGTGACTCTCATCTACACTAATGTTTGAGCGCTACAGTTTTAAAGGGCCCATAAGACATCAACCTGGACAACTGGTGGTATAGTACTAGTAAGACTTACTTTTAAAGGGAGCATTTTCATTGTACACTGCTCAGAGATGAGTATTAACAAAAGAGTAACTCTCCAAGAGACATAATCTGTATCTGTGTCAAACTAAAATACATTTACAGTTAAGAAATAATTTGGAATAATTCTTGAATGGCAGCAAAGACACTTACACTTACCGAAATATGGTGTGCATACATTGGCCTAGACAGGAAAAATGCTGCATCATGGGGTGTATGAAATTCGTTACAGAGCACATCAATTGAAGGCACTCGCTTTATATAATCTTCTGTGCTTAGATTAGATGCTAAAAACCCACCAAACTGTACCAGGGTATCATGACACTAAATTTAAAAAATAAGACAAAAAACACAAATGTGCTACCATTTTATGAAACATAAAAATTTTCCAAAATGATTATGTCATTTTAACAGTATTTTGATTAACATTTAAGAATTCAAATTTTACAACTTAAAAGAACTTTAGAGACAATCTATAAATATCATCATGTAATCATATTACTAAAAAAGATGCCAAGGCCCTGAAAAGTTGATCAATCTAAGGCTTTAATAGTCAACGAGGTCTCAAGTTCAAAGCCACTGTTCATCACTTTTAGTAACAGGATATATTTACCCTACATCACATACAATTTTATGTATACAGCATTTCCTTGCCCTAGAGTAAAACTTCATTTATAAAATATATGTGATCTTTTTTCCCTTGTAATACAGTTGGTGATAAACACATTTTGTAGGCTAATCACAGGTTTTGCTGCTTAATATTTATGATATATTTTATGAAGATCACATCTACTTAGTTCTGATTGAAATTCCAGAGTTCCAGAGATCAGGAAAGATATGAGAACAAACAACCTGAAGTTAACTACTTAACTCAAAACCTTGTACATATTATTACATCTCCTACAGCCTTTTCTTAAATACCATAATTTGCACAGAAACAGCCCCTATTTCCAGAATGTCTATTTTACATTAGAGTGTTTCACACTCATATGATGTGCAAAATGAATCTTAAAAATTTTATCACATTCCATATTTTCCATTATCAGGATAAAAAAATCCATATAAACACAAAAGCCACTGTAACTTGCCTGATCATAGAGTTTTCCCACAAGTTTCAAATGTTTCTCTCCACCTTCTTGGAAGATTACCCCATTCCTCTGCTGAGCCATAAGCAAACAGAGAGGAAGAGCAAGATCATGGTCCAACAGCGCATCCTTTAATCTCTGGGAGGATTTTTTAGTGTTTCTAATCTGGCCAAAATAACCACCCTGCACAAGAGAAGACATAAACTTACCAGTGTAGAGTACATTAACACATGCTTTCTGATTTGAAAAAGACATAGAAAAGGCTGTTACAATCCTGAAGATAAAAAAAAAAAAACCTTTACATTCCTTCCCTTTCTTCACACATTTATTTTAGTGACACTGTTGTTGGTTAGAGTCACTGGCTTAAAGATAACTGTCAATTGTCTTTAAACTTCTGCATATTTTCCATTTTCTACCTTGGAGTCCCTTATAAAGGATTATTCTTCATTCAGTATGGAACAGATTCAACAACAGAGTAACTATGTTCAGATTTACACCAGTTAGGATATCAAGGACCACCAGAAGACTTGATATTTACTTCTCTTATAGATGTGACACTGTCTTTTATACTTTGTTTCAGCTTTTTGAAAGGGTTAAAGTAACTAGTATATCAATTTTTGAAAGGGAGGTGAGGGCAGTCATATGGCAAGGGTACATATGGCTTTGACATTTGGCTTCATGTACTTATGTGTTGTCTGGATTCTTTAGTATGAGCATGCGTATATCTGGAACTTAAAAAATCGATTAAAAAAACGAGCAACTCTCACCTCAGCTTTTAGTTGCTCTCCACCAGTCATGGCCTCTAGTTGCTCCATTGTCATTTCCTCTGTAATTTCTATTCCTGCCATTTTTTGTACCACTTCTTTCAATATAAGCAGGTCAAAACTATTTAGAAAAAATAAGAAATAGTCTGTAGTTGAAACTTCAAACATAAAAGTGACAATATATATTATAATTAATATGCTGAGAATCCCTAAATTATTTGTATATAAATATGGAGCAAAAGGGGCTGGAGTGGTTTTTAAGGAAAAACTGCATTCCTAGAACTATACTGAAAAATATTTGGGGCATGTAATAGGTTTATGTTTAACTTTTTCCTTGGGAATAATTTCAAACTTACAGATAGGATGTAAAGATAAAAATTAGTACAAAGCATACCCATATACCCTTTACCCCGACTTCACCTATTATTAACATTCTTACTCCTGTTCACTTTATCATTTTTCTCTCTCTCCCTCCCTTTCTACACACACACACACACACACACACACACACACACACACACACACACATTTTTTTGAACCATTTGGGGGTAACTTATTTAGTAAGCAACATCATTTTAAGGGCACATTATACCCCTAAAATTCCAAAGAATGTATTTCCTAAGAGTGCATTTCCTAAGAATATAGCCATTCTCTTAACATAACCACAGCACAGTTACCAACTTTAGTAAATCTAACACTGATAATACTTTATAGTTCATATTTCATTTTTATCAGTTTGCCCAACAGTCCTTCATAACATTTTTAAAATGTTCTTTTTTAATTCAAGTATAATTAACATAGTTTATATTAGTTCTAGTCATGTAAGATATAGTGATTCAACAATTCCATACATTATTCAGTGCTCATCATGGTTTAAATGAACTCTTAATCCCCTTCACTTCTTCAGAGCATTTCTTTTATCCTCCAGTACAAGGTGGCCAATACATGTATTTGATGGTATAGCGCCATCTCTCTAAACAATCACACACACTTGGAAGGGATGGAGGGAGCGAGGGAGAGGAGAAAGAAAAAAAGGAAGGGAATGGAAGTGTATGAGCCTAAGATGACAGCCTTAAGAACATCTGTTATTGTGCCAATAGTTATGCATTTTAATTCTCAAAGTTTAGGACTGTCAATGAAAATAACAACTTATGACTTTCAAGATCTTTAATTAGTTAAGTAGTAAAGATAAAGTGGAAATCTTCTTTCCTACAAAACAAATACAGATGTTTGTATTTGTTTGGAAACCAAAGGTAAAGCTAGACATACCCAAGACACAAGTTAATAACAAACAAAAGGCACAGTTTTTGAAGATTCTTATTAAGTGCTTACTCTCTCAACTTGTCTTGCCTTCCCTAAACGTAGTTTATGAAAACAAGAGAGCCCTCATGCAAATTAGTATGCAACAAGTACCAATAAAATGTTTTAATTTTTCCTTAAACTCTCTTTTAATATAAACTATATTCAGAGTACAGAAAACTGAGTTACAGATTTAAAAATAATGTTATATTCTCCTAGCCCATAGACACAGGAGAGTAAAATGTATAGGAATGGTGGAAAGATGCACATAGTGTAAGTGATATGCTGACAAAATCCTAAATCTAATTATTTTTTTAAGTTTTCCCTAATCCAAAATAATAATCTCTCAAAAATTACTTAGGTTATACTTGTGTGGAACACCAGATAGCTTTACAAATTTTTGTTCACTTTCTACCAGAAAGTTTTGGAGAACAATTTCCAGTTCTTCGATTCTAGTCAGTCTACTGCTGATGAGGTTTAATATACATACTAATTCAAACTCTAAACACTGATAGTGGTCCAGAATAAAATAATAAAACCCAGTATTCATAAAGAAAAGAGAACACCGTCCAAAAGGTATATAAGCTGTATGTATCTCTGAAGTTCAAATTCAAAAGAAATTGTGTTTTAAAAATACTGTATATACCCTCAAAATAAGTATGTTCCTACCATATGCTTAAAGGCCAATTACTGTCCAGCAGCACAATCAATAATGCAATGCATTTTGTCATAAGAGGATTTACAATATACCATATAAACCATTTACTCAAGAGCCTAACAGATAGTCAAAATGAAATGTCTTTTTAATGAGTTACATATATAGCCAAATATTACATTTCTTTCTGCAAAAAAGTGTTTACGTATGAAATTACAATTTCTTTTAAAGAATTCCATATAAATAAGTGAGCAACTATTCTACTTAAGCCTACAACATACTTTTTCAGAAATAGCAATCTCAATATCCCAATACCACCAGAAGTATTCTAATTATTGAATTTCATTTACATATAATTTGCTATGAATACCTTTTGCCTGCCTTTAGCTGATTAGCCACATATTGAAGAAGACCAGCAAGATCAATTGGATATTTACGAAAAACTGCACCACAGAAACTAGCCAGACCTATATGAAATAAAAAAATAGGGCTTTTAAAAAACAGTTCATAAAACAAAAAAAAAAAAAAAAACACATTATTAGGTGGCATTTCTCAACTAACTCAATTTCTAAAACAAAATGAGGTAGGAATAATTGTACTGCTGATGCCACTGAATGGAGTTTTACAATTAATAATAGCTAATATTTATTGAGCATACATACGCTAAGCACTATACTAAGTAAGCACTTTACGTTAATTAACTCATTTAATTTTTGCAATAATCATCTCAGGTTGGTATAAAACCTATCGATGAGGAAAATTTGGAACAGATATATCATGCAACCTGTTCATGTCACATAGCTGGTATGAGGTAGAGCAGCGATTCAAAGGTATACGGCCTGACTCCAGAGCCTGTTAGGCCACAACAATTACCCAGGCTACAACAAAATCTTGCAGATCACCCAGCAAATTTAAATGATCAACAAAACACCTGCCTTTCTAATGTTTGAGTTACACACACAAAAATCTCTCATCTAGAAACATGCTACTAGTTGTGGAGAGGGAAGGAAACAGACCAAGAAGCAAACAAGAGACCAATTTTAACCAATAGTCCTTATCGCATCATGAGTAAGGAGAAAACCCCAGTCATGAGGAGATCCTAGTAAAATCAAGTGATCTGTAGCCTTTTCAACAATTATTTGCTGAGCACCTTAAAGGATAATGGAAAAGACACAGGACCTGCCCTCAAGGAGCTTACAGTCTAGTGAGGGATACAGAAAAGGAAGCTGAAATAACTATGATGAATAAAAGGTTCCATGGGAGCACAGAGAGGAGCACCTAACTCCGACTTTTGGGTAGGAGCATTAACAGGGAAAGTTTTCTGAAGAAAAGTGACCTCTAAGCTGAAATCTAATGAATAAGTAGATGTGGTGGAGGAAATGAGTAGACATGGAAGGGTATTCCAAGTAGAGGCAATAACATGTACAAAAAGGCCATGGAAAGTACAAGTTCAGTATTAATGGAACCCAGAATATGGGGAGGGGCAAAAGATGAGCCTAACACACCAAGTAAGGACCTGATCCCAAAAGAACTTACTTGTATGACTTAATGCAGATTTCAGACTTTAAAAGGCAATGGGGAGCTACCTCAAGATTCAGCTATCAGACACAATAGGTTGAAAGAAAAGGGAACTCACTGCTAGAAATCAAAAGCACAAGAAATTTAGAACAAAACAAGGCTAGGGTTTCTGTTAACAACCAAGTTTTTGTTCTTTTAAGATGAATGAAACCTCAGGATGGAAAGGAGAGAGAGGAGAAGAGTTCCCTTAAGATTGATTCCTCTAAAATAATAGAAGGGAATTTTTATCTCCCCAGTAATGCTTGCACAAATTCTATCACAGCCAATACTGGACTCTTGAGTTGGAAAATGAATAAGTACTACATGAACCTCCTTACACAGCCAAAGACTTAGACACACTGAGAGCAAGCTGAGTGGCTAGGTATTCTCAAGACCTCTTGACAAACAGGGTCTTAGCATTAGCAATAGAATACTTAACATGGCAATTACAACAGATGGAAATTTCATCCTTAGAAAAATAAAAATACTTACTCTGAAGCCAGCTTGAGATGGTTGTGTCATCATGCTTCATTCTCTCCTTTTCCGGATTAGCTAAAGCTTCAATGATACAATCTTTCGCACATTGAGGAAAAAATTTAAGTCACTACATCTCTAACAAAGACCCTTAAAACAATAACAAAATGCCACATCAAAAAAAAAAATAAAACTGTCAGCTTCAAGTTACTACAGATTATTGAAAATTATACTCACAGTAGTACCAACTTTTCCATCTTTCAGCAAGCAAGACAGATTCCACCTATATTACCATGTTTAGTAAACTTAACATTGTTCTCTCCCTATACACAAAGCAGACACACACACACACAAACTCCTGACTGGCCAACCTTTTTTAGATCAGCCAACAGAATTAACCTCATATGGTTACTAATGGAACTTAGAATGAAAAAGAAAAACAAAAAGAATGAAAATAAAGGTTCACCATTAAGATCTATGAAATGTGAAATCTATGTATTACTTCACTTGAAAGGATACAGGCCAAAACATCATAATTCAATGAAGTGAGGTATTTCAATGAATCTACTACAGGTGTTATTAAGTTATCATACTTCTGTATTTGCGACAAGATCTGGAAGATAGCAACAAAAAATAGATGGCATTAACTCATCAAAAGGGAACTTCTGGGCTAAATAATGGCTATACGTTTTTTGTTTTTCAAAAGAAACAATGCTTAAAATTAAAGTAGCTTCCTTCTACTTTGTATTTATATAAAACCTACTATATTCTATCATTTCTTAGGAAATATTTTCTTAGGCTACATTCTCCAGTTAGGAAATAATTCCAGGACATATAACTTGACTTCTGGAATGATAAATGCCAAATGTCTTTTAGAAATCTCTTTCTAAATATAAAAGTATTACGCCTGAATCACAATGAAATGCTATTCAAATGTTTTTAAGAACAAAAATCAATAAATAATGCATCCCTTTATTAATATTTTTATAAACCAACATGGGGTAAATAAGACAATGTTAGACTGTTTAACAGCAGCATTGTTACATATGACCAAAAAGGAGATCAATGTGTTAAATATACTGTATGCTGTTTTTAGAATAACAGTGTTTCATTTGCTAAAGATTTTTTCCCCTAAAACTATCATTTTTAAAACTTCATCATTCCATTTCCATTTGTGATTTAAAGACAACAAAAAGAAAAATCCCTTAAAATAATATTAACCTCAAAACATACATAATCAAACAAAATGGTTGGATTGCTGTGGCTCAACTTCCCAATTTGTCTTCCAGAAGGCTTCACATTTTCCTTGGTTAGACGCCTACAAGGGGAGAAAAAGGTGGCAGAGATCATCTTAAGTCATTTCTCTTACAATGTTGATAGCACTGTTATATCATAAAAAAACAAACAAAAAAACAATTCTTTCCCAAGTATCCAAAATGGATCCATGTAAAACCACCACATTCTTCATATACACTACTGTAGGCCTTAAGTTATTTTGATTAGGCATTCTCCCAAAGGGTATTAAGATTTTGAATTAATGCTTAACATTTATAATATATACATTTCCATTTTATACTAATAGTCTAATAAGCAAAAACTCTTAATGTACTCTACAAGTACATAAAACTCCTTTTGAAGAAAATCATAATTATTTTTTTAAAGATTTTATTTATTTGTCAGAGAGAGCGCACGCACAAGCAGGGAGAGCGGCAGGCAGAGAAGCAGACTCCCCGCTGAGCAAGGAGCCCAATGCGGGACTCAATCCCAGGGCCCTGGGATCATGACCTGAGCAGAAGGCAGACGCTTAACCGACTAAGCCACCCAGGTGTCCCGAAAATCATAATTATTTTAGATTTAGAAGTGCTCATTTATCAGTGTAGGCATCAAATTCAGTGTAACGCAATCAAATACCTCATACCATCTGTCTCAGTTACCCTAACAGAGTAATAGCTAATGCTGCACTCCTTGATAAAGGAAGTTCTCTGGTTTTCGTGTAAACAATTTTTTAAAAAATCAATTCTACTCCTTTCCTTCCTCTTTAATTCTTCCACTGCTCAGTATTCTTTTACTAACATTCTGGAAAACTTAGATCTATGAAATGCTTACAGCTCAAAATTATTACACAGCATCTTAAACTCTTCTGATATTACATAATAAATCTAGAAACTTAAAAAAGCTGATGACTAAAAGCTTTCTAGAATGAAAATACAATACGATGAAGCAAATAATGAATTCAGTTGATAGTTCAAGGAATGGGACCATTCTGGAAGTAACAAACTTGATAATTATCTTAAGAAGTTTCTTATGACAAAACTGACCCATCAATCAAAATTATTTCATCATCAACTGCTTCCCTTTCCCATTCTCCAAGGCCAGTTTCCTTTTCTCCCACAGAAAAGAGAGACCTATCAAGTTTCAAACTTTGGCTACACTCTGTTCCACCTTCAAACTTACTACCACCTGTCCTTACTTCTGACCCTACTATTTCAGGTGGTCCTTCTACTTGCCAAAGCAGATCCTTCCTCTCTATACCTTTTATCCCATTCCTTTCTGCCTCCACTCTGGAGGGAAAAACCAAATAAATAAATAAAAGGAGTACTTTCTTGATTATGTCTTACCCTCAAGCTACAATGGTGTCTGGCATATGGAACACAATCAATGACGATCTGTTGAATGAATTACTGAATGCCTTACAGCAAATTCATTTTTTAAACAGTAATCAAAACTTGTGAAATTCTGTAAGTAATAAATTAATATACTCCATTCCCAACATATAATGTTTAATCAATACCAAAACAGGTTGTTCAAGCCTGGTGAAATAGTTACAACTAACAAATACAACAAAAATCCAAGTACATTAAAATTTCTACACATATTCTTCTGTGATATATATTTTTATTAATTCATTCATTCATATTAACGTCTTCTATAACAGGCAAAGAGCTAAGCACTCGGAATACAAGGATGAATAATAGCTCCTGCTCTCAAGCTTAGTCCAGCTGGGGAGACCGACTTGACCTATTTTTTAAATTTTACTTTCTTAAATCCAGCAAGTTACAGAACAGTATTTATTATATGCTAACAATAGTACAAGGGGGGAGAACAATATATTTGTATTCACCTATTTATACATAAAAATCTCTGGAAGGATAAATAAGAAACTAAACAGTGGCTTCCTTTTTTACCTCCTGAGTGAATGGAGGATGAGATGAGAGACTTTTTATTATCTACCTCTTCATATTTATTGAAATTTAAGCCATGTGAATGTATAAACTATTCCAAAGATTATATAATTAGATAAGAGAAAAATAATCATAGCAATGTATCTAAATGGTATGATAGCATCATATGCATACGGGACAGCGGTGGCATAAACAAAGAACAGTAGATTGTGCTTGGCAGTATGTGTTACAGAAGGCTTCGTGAGGAGCTAACATTGAAGCCCACCCTCCAAGGATGATGAGGTCACCAGATGGAGAGAGGAAAAAGAGGTAAGGGAAAACCTGTACAAACAGAAGAAACGAAACACAGATGCAAAGAAAAAGGAGACCACAGCACATTCAGGGAAACTTAACTGAGCTCAGCACAGCTGGAGGTAGAATTAGCAGGCAAAGAGGTTGGAAATGGGGAGGGACAGATCATGAAAGATGTCTTACATCACCATGCCATAAAGGCTGACACATAACCTGCAGGCAATGGTTAGTCACCAAAGGATCTTGAAGAAAGAATAAAGAATAAAGGCACAATAATAAAAGAAATAAGTTAGTGGCAGTAGAGAGAAGACAGATTCAAGAGATCTGATAATATTTAATATACAGTTGACCCCTGAACAACATAGAGATTAGGGGCAACAACCCCCTAAACAGTTGAAAATCTGTGTATAATTTCTGACTCCCCAAAACCTTAACTAATAGCCTACTACTGACCAGAAAGAAGCCTAATAACATAAACAGCCGATTAACACATATTCTATATATGTATTATATACTATATTCTTAAAATAAAGCTAAAGAAAATGTTATTAAGAAAATCAAAAGGAAAATACATTTACAGTTCTGTCAATACTGTTAAGCTTACATTATCTATTTACAAGATGAACAGTCTGTCAGTACCTACACCAATACTGTATGATGCAAAACACTGTAGATATTATATGCATCACTAACACTAGACATCAAAAATGAAAAGATAATGTGAAAAAGAAATTCATATTTATTTATAGGTATAATGATTCATGCACTGATAACAAAGCAGCAACAATATGACTGCTTTATGGCAGCCTAGTATAATTGATACGACTGCTTCATGGTAGCCTAGCTTATATGCTAATGAATGAATCATTATCAAATTTTTAAGGCATATAGCATTACAGTCATATTCATAATACAGTACTGGAAATACTGTTACTTTTTTAAAAAAACCATTTATCTGTGATAGACTGATAATGCAGTTTGTCCAATTACAAGAAAGGCATACAATAATACAAATCTTCGAAAGCAAAGTTATCAAACAGTAAGAAAACACATTATTAATTTTGTTAAATATCATTCACCTTACACCTATGTAAGGATAGGCTATTCACTTCCATACAAGTCTTACACACAATATCCTACATAATGATGATAAGGAGGACACAAAAACATTTCCTATAGTTCTTGCCATAGGGTTAGATTTTCACACAAAGACACACAAACACAACAGACAAGTTTATTAACTGTATTATCATGATGATTATTTACTATTCATTAAGTGAAAGTGGATCATCATAAAGGTCTTCACTCTCACCGCCTTCACACTGAGAAGGCTGAGGAGGAGGAGGAAGAGGAATGGTTGCTGGTCTTGTCTCGGGGCTGGCAGAGTGGAAGAGGAAGTGGAAGGAAGGCAATTGAGACAAGCACGCTCAGTGTAACTTTATGGAAGTACATGGTAATTTCTGTCTGACTTTTTTGCTTTTCTACTTCTTTAAAAATGTTTCTATACGGTACCTATCCTTCTTCCACCATTTGCTTTAGTTTCAGTGCCCATATCATAGAAGGGTCCATATCATAATAGAAGTCAAAAAGCAGTCTAGAATAATCAGAACCTTCTTCCAGATTGTCCAATGTCAATTTGTTTTCTGGCACCTGGTGTTTATCATTTCCCTTCAATGCGCAGGAGTTAGCAGCTTTATAGATAAGGGTGTTGTGGATCATAAACTTGACTGCATTTGCACACAACAGTAGAGTCAGCCTATCCCTTCCTACCTTAACTTCTGGTGCTTGCTCTTCCTTCCTAACAAATGTCCTTTGTGGCTTTATTTTCCAGAATAGGGCAACTTTTGTCTGCATTTAAAAACCTGTTCAGGCAGATATCCCTTCTCCTCAAAGATTTTTTTTTTTAAGATTTTATTTATTTATTTGACAGAGAGAGACACAGTGAAGAGAGGGAACACAAGCAGGGGGAGTGGGAGAAGGAAAAGCAGGCTTCCCGCGGAGCAGGGAGCCCGATGTGGGGCTCGATCCCAGGACCCTGGGATCATGACCTGAGCCGAAGGCAGATGCTTAACCATCTGAGCCACCCAGGCGCCCCTCCTCAATGATTTTCTTAATGGCATCCGGGAACTCATCTACTTTCTGCCTCTTGGTCAGCATAAACTCTTTCTCCTGTCATCTTGACATTTTTTAAGCCAAACCTCTCTAAAATTATCAAACCATCCTTTGCTGGCCTTAAATTCTCCAGCTTCTGATCCTTCACTTTCCTTTTGCTTTAAGTTGTCATATAATGATTTGGCATTTTCTCAAATTACATTAGATTAGAATCAATAGACATTTCATATCCTGTACCCACATAACAGCTGCATTTTCAATACAAGATAAAAAGGTATTTCACAAAAAGTACAAAGTTTTCACATCTGCTGGTATAGCTGCAACAATGACTTCATGAATTTCCTTTAAAAAAAAACAAAACAGTCCTTACACTGGATTCATTTATCTTGAAATGGCGGATAGCTGCATCTACAGACCTCAAGCTATGGTACATATAAAGCAATTCAACTTTTTCTTGTAATATCATGACTTTTCTCTGCTTGGGAGCACTTCTGGCAGCACTAGAAGTACTTCGTATGGGCCCCAGGGTGTTATGCAAGGCTTACCGTATCACAATAAACACGAAAAATACCTAAGAACCGTGAGAGATCACTTTTTACTGCAATACACAATTTACTGGAAAGATGAACTGCTCACGCAGAGATGATCATCATCACACAGTGTTTTAAGCAGATACTCGCAACACTTGAGCTCACTGCATAGTAACAGGGGGTGGCTACGAAATTATTTCAGTAGTAAAGTATTACAGGTACTTTTATGCAGTTATGACTTAATACTAAATCTTTACATTTGTTTACATCTCTCTTAACTACGAACAGCATGTTGTACAGTCTGTAAGTGTGCATGTAAGTAAGTTCTGGTAAATTTTAACTTTTTAGAATAGATTGGTGTATATTTTATCATAGCAAATGATAAACTAGACTAGTATCTACATATATTTTATGCATTCATGACATACCTTTTTCCTGATTTTTTTTTCAATATTTCTAGGTTATGTGATTTGTAAATTTCTTCAAATTTGTTCCAAATCTCCAAAAAATATTCCAATACTTTTTTTTTTTTTTTAAGATTTTATTTATTTGACAGAGAGAGACACAGCGAGAGAGGGAACACAAGCAGGGGGAGTGGGAGAGGGAGAAGCAGGCTTCCCACTGAGCAGGGAGCCCAATGCAGGGCTCGATCCCAGGACCCTGGGATCATGACCTGAGCCAAAGGCAGACGCTTAACGACTGAGCCACCCAGGCGCCCCTCCAATACATTTATTGAAAAAAATCCACATATAAGTGAATCCGCATAGTTCAAACCCATGTTTGTTCAAGGGTCAACTGTATTATTAAATAATCCATATAAAGCACTTAGTTCAGGGCCTGGCACACATAAATATTAATGGCTCCATAAATATTAGCTGTTGTTAAGCTAGAAACTACCTGTGGAATTTTTAAGACCAGAACTCTTTTGGAATGACCAATTCTAATATCACCTCCTTCCATGCCTTCCCCAACTTCCACGGGGTAAAATAACTCACTCTCTTCTCTATCCTCCCAAAGAACATTTTATACACACACACACACACACACACACACACACACACACATACATATATATATATACACACACACATATATATATACACACACATACATATATATGTACTGTATAACAACAACTATTAAACCAGATTGTGATCGTGCACACACCTGTTTCCCCAGTAGACTGTGGCCAGGGACAATATCACTGGGCAGACAGTATCATTGCATACTGTTAAATCTAGTTAAACTAGAGAATGAACTATTTTAATTAGAATAACCATACCACTGCACAAACATAAAAGAAACAACAATCAATAGCCTTGCTGAAAACACTTGTAATATAGCAGTGTATTTAGCATATAAACCAACTCTAATCTGAAGTATACAATTTTCATAATTAAATTTCAGTTTACCAAGAAGTAAAATAACATCACTCTTATGTTTTTAATAACATGAAAATAAAGCACAAAAATGAACAGAAATTTTTCAAAAGTTGACTCAAGGAGGTAGTTCTGCATAATTCCATTAGATCTTCCAAAAAGGAAAAATATATTTTTTTAAAGATCTTATTTATTTGAGAGAGAGAGAGAGAGAAAGCACGGGGAAGGGGTAGAGGGAAAGGGAAAGGCAGAGAATCCCAAGCAGACTCTGTACTGAGCGCAGAGCCCAATGCAGGGCGGGACCCACAACCCATGAGATCACAAACTGAGCCAAAACCAAGAGTCAGAAGCTTCACTGACTGAGCCACCCGGGCACCCCAAGAAAAATCTTTATTATAATAACTTTCGGCAGAGGAAATTTCAAGAACTTTGACCACCTTTTATAAGCCATTAAATGTATTATGCAAATTGAGCAAAGGCCATAGTAGGCTGTCCTTTAAAAAAACTCACCTATACTATGATGCATTAAAGAGGATTATTAGATTCTACAGCTATGCAAACATGACAACTACAAAAACTAACTTGGTAGTCAAAATGAGCTAAAAAGCACAAAAACTGATAGTCATTCTATCTGCAGTACATAACTGACTATACCATTAAGCAAATACTCCTGGGCTTCCTCAGAACTGAGGCTCAGACATAAGTTGGCTGGAAGAAAGTAAATTAGATCCAGATATACTTTAGGTTAATATGAAGAAAAATAAATTAAAACTTACTTCATGATATATTTGGCTCTGTCTATTGTTTGGGCTTTAACTTTTACTAAAAGTGGGTGACTGTTATAAGTTTCATTCTTCCACTGGCCATACAGACGATATCTTAAAAAACGATGAGATGAAGAATTAGGAAAAGTTAAACACTTAGAGGTTAATGACTAGAACAGTAGTTAAAAATACAAAAATATTATGTATTTACCTATGCTGATATGGAAATGTTTTAAACATTCCCCATAGTTCCTCAGACATACAAGCATTGCAGTCCATCAAAGAAAGAGATGGAAGAAGTACCTGGTCAGTAATGCTAAGTAAACAGCTAAGGATAACTTCCTAAGAAGAAGGGAGGAAAAAATTATTTTAGTAAAAGGTCCACATTAAACCCCCCCCCAAAATAAATTTATGTCAGCCTTGGAAAAACTGCCATTCCTTGATCTCATACCACACCACATCTAATTTCCCACATTATCACTGCCCTTTTCACAGTGGATATTTGTGCTTCTCCATCTAAGGAAGCAATGAGGTGAGGTAAGGAAAGGGGTAGCAAGAGAATGAGGGATTCTTATTATCCCTCTTCCTTTCTCAACATGGTAATCCTCAAAAACAGGAGTTGTCAATCTTAAAAGATATGTCGAAAGCTATACTAAGCATGTAGAGTACAAAATATTCACACAGGTGATTAAAACTTGTTCACAGTAAAATTTACAGTATGCTGTACACAGACCAATCAGACACATCGGATTTTTCTAGTCTCTTACCGTTTTCTCTTTATCTTCTTGTTTGCTTCCATCAGACTGAAACTAAAATTAAAAAAAACTATAAATAAAATGCAAAAAGGTTAAGATTATGATGTCACAATTTAGCATCTAATTTGAAAAAAATTAACTTGTACACGGTTGTGAATTATTTCCTTACTTTTTAAACAAGTGTAGATCTTAAATATAGCCAGTATTACCAACTAACATTTTTAAATTTCACCTATATTTCTAACTTCCAAATCATCTGCAACATTCATGAATTTTAAATGTCAATTTTATAAGCCAATTCTTTTCTTAACCTCATTATCACAAACCAAAGCATCCTAAAATTGATCTAAGTATTTATTATAAGATTGTATCCAGCACAATTTAGTTATAATGCATTTGCATTTTTCCATCCAGAAGTTCTGATTTTCTGCTACAGAATTAGTAAAATCTAAGACTAAAGCAATAACAAAAAAATTAAACCCAAAGAAATTTAAACTATGTTTTAATTCACCATTACTTAAACTCTCAATGAGAAATAAGCCTAAAATATTAGTAAAACATTACTGACAAAGACCAAACCACTGCCTAAGTTGGACTGAATGAAAAAACCTGGGTCGTTTTGTATCAGTGATTTGCAGATGGACTGCTGAAGTGCCATGTTTGATGCTGATGCTGTCCATTCATTCAAAATGAAATAGTACTTGTGTGTGTGTGTATATAGGCAGGTGGAGAGTTAGAGGAGTGTACAAAGGCCAAAAGGACAATTGAAGCACTGATAGCCAAGGACAATCTAGATTTCTGGGAAGGATTTAACTCAATACCAAGTGACAGAAGGGGAAACCGTTAACATGCAGCTAACAAGCTTATTATTTTCCTGGCAGAAATAGGTATTTTGTGCATGCATGTTTTTATACTTGAGTAATTTAATGGTACTACAGAGAAGTCTAACTGCTGCGCAACATTTTCACATAAGACTAATTCTGGGACTGCCATGTCACCTTGATGGGAAAACACACACAATTCCCCTCTCTTTTTTTTAATCAGCAGGTTAAAAAGATATGGTTCGCTTTCACAGAAACAACTGTTAAGTCAACATATATCCTGGTCAGCAAATAAGGGTCAGGTTATGAAGGAATGGCCTGGCAGAAAACAAAGTAGATAGCTGCTTTTGTTTTGTTTGGTTGGGGGGGGGGGTAATTCTGGTGGCATATTAGGAAGAACTAGATTTACAGTATATTACACTGGGGATAAAGGCAGTTAAGCTACTCCTTTTCTAATATATCATGATTCTAATAAAGCTACACAGAATTTTCTCCATAGAAATAAAACATTTTCTTATCTACTAAGCTGTCCTAATTCCTTTACTAAATACTTAAGGTTGTAATGTCTATGTCAATTCTCTAGATTTCATAACCAGGAAAATTTGAAAAAGAAAAAGAAATATGGTCTGTCAAATAAATAAATAAAATCTTAAAAAAAGAAGAAATATGGAAAGCACAATGAAACTAGAAGAGTAGTAAGAAACATTTCTATCAAAGGCTAACTATAACAAAGATGAACAAAGACGAACAAAAATGGTAAAGGTACATGCAAGTAAAATAATTTTCTTTTCTTTGGTAAGAATATAAAGACACATTCCAGTCCCTTGATGCTTTTTCTTTTAGTTTAATTTGCTTTTTAATTTAGAATAAATATAAAACTCTCCATTCTCATAGTACAACACTAGAATTTTATTGAATGGCCAGTCCAGGAAGAAATGGAAGAAAAGAGGGGAAGGAAGAAAATACGTCCACTTCATTTATTCATTTACTATGTGCCAGATACTGGGAGTTCAAAGATGAACAGAACAGAGTTCCAATCTCTGAGGAAGTGACAAAGACAGTTCCTATCTTTGAGGATCTCTTGAAGATCAAAACTACGCTTGCCAATGTACTATTAGGAACTGAATTTTTAAGTCTGAATAAAATCAAGCATTCATAATTATGCCTAGACAAACCATTAGCTATAAATGGCCCCAAGCAGGTTCCATTCTTGCCCTATAATGAGGGAGCAGATGACAGGGCTGCATAAAAGAACTGGGCACAAAAAGAATGTACGTCCACCAAGAGGGGGCTTCTGGAGAGTCAAGAAATAAAGCTTGGGAAAAAGTTGTAGATTTAACTAGATAAGTTACTTTATTACTGATGTCCTACTTTTAGTATCTCTAACCCATGCATATTTGAAATGCTACTTTATATTTTATTTCAAAAAAAAAGAAAAAAGAAAAATACACTTAAGACTTGTGACTAGATTTGAACCTGAAGCTACATCTAAGTAAATAATGGCACTATTTTCACCTTCCTTATTTTTCTCATTCTTAATTATTGAGTACTCACTATGTGCTATACAGTAGTAGGCTAAGAATTTCACATTTAGGTCTTAAAACTGTAAGGAAAAAAAATTTTTTAAAGATTTTATTTATTTGAGAGAGAAAGAACACATGAGCAGGGAGGAGGGGTAGAGGGAGAGGGAGAAGCAGGCTCCCCGCTGAGCAGGGAGCCCAATGTGGGACTCCATCCCAAGACCCTGGGATCATGACCTGAGCTGAAGGCAGCCACTTAACTGACTGAGCCACCCAGGCGCCCAAGGAAAATCTTTTTGCTAGAAAGGATCCAACTAAGACTTTTCCTATTTCTAAACAACTTAGAAATAGGAAAATATAACCTCTAAGTTAAAAGTTACAAGGCCACGAGTTTTCTGAGCCTAAAGAAGAGATAAATGAATTGCCTTTCAATGTTTTGGTTCAAAGCTTTTTTATCTTTTAATCAGAAATTCTTAAAATTTTATAAACACTTAGAAACAATCAGTAATATTGCTACTACGTCATTTCTGAAAACAGAGATACTAAATGAAAAAGTACTATCTTCCAATACATTTCATTCTTTTCAATACAAATCTGTACCAAAGAATTAATAATATAGTCACCTATACACAGGATGACCATATGTGCTGCTTCTCGCTTTTTATCCCAGTGTAAGTAAGAGCACAACCTTTCCATCTTGAATATCCTAGTTTAGACAATAAAGCACATGGTCTCCCTACCTACCACATGGGTAGCATTCAAACTGCAGTAAATGGACTTGAGGGAGTGGTTTAAACATTAAAATATAGCAAACAAGACAAAATGCTAAATAGCCAAACTTGGTTTCATAAAATTCACCACCCAAAAGTAATTACTTTGGTTAAAACGTTGATTATGGGGCGCCTGGGTGGCTCAGTCGTTAAGTGTTTGCCTTCGGCTCAGGTCATGATCCTGGGGTCCTGGGATGGAGCCCTGCATCCAGCTCCCTGCTCAGCGGGAAGCCTGCTTCTCCCTCTCCCACTCCCCCTGCTTGTGTTCCCTCTCTCGCTGTCTCTGTCAAATAAATAAAATCTTTAAAAAAAGTTGATTACGATATGAAACTGTGCTGTTTTACACAAGCATAGTTCTAACAAAGTTGTGTGTAAAAATGGGTATTTTCGGTGCACTTAATATGAATATGTGATTTATTTAAATGAATTCTCTTTATAAATGGAGTTCATAATAGAAGTCTTTTGTAAAACAAAAAATTGCCCTGTAAATCTATCTTTAGGGAAAATTAAAGTTTTCATATGGAATTCAATTAAAGGGATATGCCCCTGTGTTTTACTTTACATTCCCCCAAAAGCAGCCCCTATTCAAGTACAGGCATAATTTATCTGGGAAGTAACCCTAGTAGGAAATTATTCCTGTGGGTTAACTGGAGCTTAATCCCACTGGGGACTCTGAGGGTCTGTGTAGAAATACAACTCAGGATTATCCCATCTCAAGGCATGGTAGTTACACACTAACTCCTATCATTTCACTGGTTGAGAGCTGGGGAGAGGGGGCAAGGTGAGTTCTCCAGCAATTCCAGGATACCAATTCCTATCCTACCTATGCAGGCTTCCAGGGCCAGAAAAGCCCTCAGACAACAAGATGCAGGTGCCAATAGTTGAAAATTGGGCAGGCACGCACCAAAATGATAAGGACCTAGTGCAGAGCCAAAAGAATACAGATGGAATCTAATAGCATCTGCTATGCCCCGCATGGACAAATAGCCAAACCTCCAAGAGATGAAGAGTTTTTCACAAATATTTTTAAATGTTTTACATTCTGAATTTTTTTTTTCTGAAACTGAACACTGAGGTCCGATTTCAGAAAACAGTCTCTGAGAGGAAGCACAGGGGTTGAATCAATTGCTTACAGTGTATGCACACTAAAAAGTTGACTTTTCTTTCTTGTATAAAATATACTTCTTAAAATTATACTGTTTGTACATAGAGTCTACATTTGCCTATTAACAGACTTAATATCTGCCTGTCCTTGTATGTTTATATGTCTCTCTTAAGTAAAAAGCATAGCTAACGGTAAAAATTAAGATCCTATTTGTAATTTTATTACCATCACTATGATTCTACATCTTGATTAAAACTGTCACATGAAGATATTCAGTTAATAGCTAAGGTGACCTTAGTTCAAACCAATTATTACAGGTGACAATATAAGTACAAATATAAACATCCTAAGAGTTCTTCCCTGCTCAGGCTCGTTAAATAGCAAGAATGTTGTAGATTAAATTTGGTCTCCAATTCTAGAGTTCACTTGCTTTGTATGAAACTTATTTATTTTATTTTATTATGTTATGTTAATCACCCTACATTACATCATTAGTTTTTGATGTAGTGTTCCATGATTCATTGTTTGCATATAACACCCAGTGCTCCATTCGGTACGTGCCCTCTTTAATACCCATCACAGGCTAACCCATCCCCCCACCCCCCTCCCCTCTAGAACCCTCAGTTTGTTTCTCAGAGTCCATAGTTTCTCATGGTTTGTCTCCCCCTCCGATTTCCCTCCCTTCATTGTATGAGACTTATAACAGCAAAAGTACATAGAGGAGCTGAACCAAACTGAGAGAAAAAAATCCTCCAATGAGAGCGGCATCTGTCTCTTGGACAGTAAGAATAATGCAAGGTTCTGATTCTCTTAAAAATATTCTTACAAAATTTGTATC